ATGAGGCCTTGTAATCTGCATTTGAATAAACACCCTACCACCACTCTGGAGATTTTGATGCCGGTGCTCCATGTTGTGAGGAGTACCGCCTGGGCAGGGGCATTGTGTGTGTGTGTGTGTGTGCACGTGCGTGTGCGCACGTGTGTCAATGTATTGCCTGCGTGTGCATGCCACATTCTCTAGTTCAAGGGTTGTTCTAGTAAAGCTCAGTGGAGGGCGGGTATAGATGTGCACTGCATACAACCCGCTTCAGAGGAGCTTTGTCTAGAGAGACTTTCGTTGCCTTCTTTAGATTTCACCATTTGAGGCTGGACTTAGCAGTGAGGGTGACCAGATACCTGTTACAAAGGATCATCTTTCTACGAAAACTTGTGCTCAGCATGTTCAAAAAAACTTCTTGGCAGGAAGTCATTTGTCCCCTTTTTCTGGACCTGGGAACAGCAGTAGGAAGTGTTCAGGCCTTTTCCCAAATATAATATCTGACCATTTGAAGGCTGAGAATCCTTTCTGCCTACGGCCTCCTGGGACTCTGAGTGGCCTGCCTGCCGGTCAGGGGCACCGAGCATCCCCACACTGGGGATGTGGGAAAGATGGTCTCTGCCCTCGAGGACTTAAGGTCTGCGGGGGAGACAGAACAGACCCATGTGAAAGAGTCAGGCACACAAATATAACAAAGCTAAGGCAGATGTAAATCCACACAGCTGTGAGAACCCAAGTGCAGACGTGACGCTGCACTCAAGGTCCGACATTCAGTGAAAGAGAAGCAGGAGGAAGTTGCACGTGGGGTGTCGGTGAGCCATCAGAAAGGCCTTCCCAGGGGAGGTCACATGCGTTCATTCACAGACTCCCCTTAAGCACTTACAGTGGGCTCCGCTGCTGGTGAGCACGGCAGCCCCAAAGTCAGCCTTTTAGGGAACACGGTGCTGACTGTCCAGGGAGTCTGGGGCACCACATAATGCACAGCACATGGACCCAGCCCAGGTGGGACATCAGGACAGGCCTCCTCAAGACAGCAAGGCTTTCATCAGATTCCTGAAGGCGGCCCTTCCCCTGACTTCAGGGAATTCAGCACGAGGTACAAAGGAAGGCCCGCCTGTGGCCTTCCCACCTCCTCTTTCCATCCTGGCTCGTATGCCTGTGTATCGTGTGGACACCTCAGGCCTCAAGTGTAAACTCCATCAACACACCACCCTCCCCACTTGGCCAGCCTTCAGGCCTAGAGTTATGATCTACCCTCAGGAGGACTGATCTAGAAAACAGGCCCTTGCCGGCCTGGAAGTGAGCTGTTTGGACAGGGGATTGGGAATCCTGGGTCTACAGGGGTGAGCGATCTGGAGGTGGGTGCACAGCCAGTGGGCAGACAGGTTCCCTCCTCCCCACAGACTTCTCACTCTGTGGGGGAGCACAGTTGGATGAGGGCCAACATGGGCCTCTGTAGCTCAGGGCATGGGCAGGGGGTCGGACTGCAGGTCTAAGCACAGTTCTGCCCAAAGGATGAGTCAACATTAGCTAAATCAAAGGTGGAGGGATGGGGCAGAGGAGGGGCTTCCCACAGAAGGAACAACCAGTGCAAGATCCCTAGGGTGGGAAAAGCCTGGTTCACCTCCCTAAAAGCAGGAGTGTTGTAGAGAGCGCCGAGGTGAGACTGGAGAACAGACAGGGGCCTCAAGGGCCAAGATAAGGATGTGGCTTTACAAAGGACACAGGCAAGACATGGTGGGCCAGGGAAAGGTCATTTTGAATGGAGCGAGAACATTCCTCCCAAACGAAGCTTGTGTGATACCGGTAAGGCATTTGATGTGGGAAGAGGGGGCAAGCTCTTCACTTTGGCTGGGCCTCAGAGTACTGAGAAAGGCCTGAGAAGGAAAGAAAAAAAACAATTGTGGAGGACTTGTAAGCATGTAGGAAGGGATCAGGGTCATCAGGGTAAGCACAGAGCCTCTGGGAGGAATGCTTAAAGAATTAGGCTGGGAGCCAGATTCTCTCTTTATGCTGTGCTGACCATTGAAATAAGGCAAAATAATCTGCCACATTTAACACCTTTCTGCTCTAGGACTGCTCCCTATGTTTGAGTCATAGTACTGTACATGTATGCGATTTTTGTGTTTTTCTGTGTGATTTCAGTGTCCTGAAATTCTTTCTGGATTGGCAACACATCCCCTTGTCCACTTAGTAAATACGACCATGTTTATGCTTTGGGCTACATTTTACAGTCATCACTGAATGCTCGTTTCCTTTTCGTGTCATTTATTTTTTATAATTGTGCTGACACTCTCGTTACTTAATGCCTGTGGAATTATGACTACATTAGGCCACGATAAGAATTGTCCCTGAAGTCTGTAAGCAGATGTTGGGGTGTGTGTGTGTGTGTGTGTGTGTTTGTGTGTTTGTAACAACAGTGCTTACATAATCTCAATAACCAAGCCCTGGGGACTCACACTCAGAGACAGAACAGTTGGTTTAAATTAGGTTTCCATGTGAAATATGGTATCACTATTTTTTTCCTAGCCTTGTGGGAAAGTATATGGAAAATGATTTGACTGATAGGAAATGAATCTGGATGTGTGATCAGGACTGAGGCACAAACCACTCTGCTCTGTGAAGCAGGTCTCTCCAAGGGAAGATATGTTAACCCTTTCAGGTCACTGCACTAATAAACCACTGTGTGGGACCAAAATAGCCTGAAAGTCCAGAGACTTTGCAAAGACACTGATTTGCCATCAATTTCAACAGGAAAGGAGCTAAAGCCATAGAAAAAATATAGCCAGAGGCCTCAAGAACTAATGCATCGGGTGTCTTTGAAGAACCATTTTAACTTTTCAGGGTTTCATTTGTATTTTAAGGAGATGGATTTGGGTTTCTAGCTCAGAGTCAATGATGTTATGATTCTGAGTGTTTTCTGATGATTTCTTAGAGCAGGATAGGGCTTATCAAAACTAATCACACCAAAGGAAGTATTGGTTAGAAGCATTAATGACACTCAGTCTTTACTGGCAAAATAATGTCTTGGTCTAGAGAGCCAGAGTTTCACCAGCCTGGTGACTTTTAGCTGGGTAACCAGGTGAAGGGAAAGAGCTTGGAGACAGTGAGCCAGGGATTGCTCACAGCTGCAGGAGAGGGGCTGGTTTTGGGAATCCCAAAGGGCTCCTGTGTGCTCAAAGCAGTCCCAGGAGATCAAACGAATGGTTATCTTCTTCCAAGAGGCTCTTAATTCCTTGCAGGATGATCTGGACTACGGCTTGTCCTAGGGGTGTGATTCCAGATCTGTCCTCCTGATGTTTCACAAGAGTTCAGCCAAGTCCAGAGCAGGTAGAGATCGGTGGTGCCTGCTTAGAGCCCACTGGGCTCGTGCTGGGCTCAGGGGTGGCAGGTGGCCCATCAATTTTGCTTCAGCAAATTTCAGAAGGGAAGAGATCGATTGTTACTGCAGCGCTCCTGGCTGCTACCAGATTATAACCCTGTTTTAGCACTGAAACTCTCTGTTGCTATTTCCCTATTTGTTTTTGTGTAGGGAGAGGAAAGACATGTTCAGCATCAATCTCTTCTGTTCTGCTTTTTTCATTTTTTTAATCATTTTTTGGTACTCTTCTCGGTACCTTCTCCTTTGATTCCATCTCTGTCTTCAAATGTGCATCTCTTATTGAGTGCTTAGAAGGACCTACCAGTGCCAAGTTTACAAAAACTAGCTCCCTTCATCAGCTGAAAGAGCACCAGCCTGGGAGTCCTAGCTTTGACATCAAGAATTGTGACCTTGGCAAATCATTTCTCCCATGAGCCTTGGATTCTTGATCTGGAAGCATGGGGTTGGACTGCCCTCTGCGGTTGCTGCCAGCACTAAATGCCACTCATTCCTCTCATTTTATTTGGAGGGAGGGAGTCAGGGAAGTGGTTGCCTTAGACCTTGAACTCTTTTTTCCCTGCAGGCTTCTCTGTTCAGGCTTCACTCTCGCTCAAGCCAGGGAAATGAGTTGCTCCCCATGTTTCAGCACTGTTGCTAAACCAAGTACAACTAATGGGCCATGCGGGGTCAAGACCAAGGCTTTGATCTATTAACAAGTGAACTTATCAGCCCAGACCTTAGCCAGGATGGAGAAAGTAACGTAAGTGAACACTAGTGTTCCAAGCACCAAAGTACAGGTAGCAGCAAAATAATCTTAGCAATTAATCAAAGGATTTTGAGGCTGCATACCATAAAGGGGGGACTTTAGTAGTAGATTATTATTAAATATTATACTTCAGCCTGTGTAGTAGAAAAGACAAATCACACTAGACTAAATTTAAGCCTAGAGCAGGAGAACAGTTTATACATTAGGCATTTAGTGAGTGGTTAATAGGGACACCTCTGGGCCACACACCTCGGTTCAAATTCAGGCTTTGCCACCTATTGGTTGAGGACCTTGAGCAAGTCTCTTAGGCCCTCTGTCCTTCATTCGTCATCTATAAAATGGACAGTTATAGTTCCTGACTCTTAGGATTGTTGTGAGAGATACGTGAGTTAACATATATGAAGTGCTATATTGGTTCCATTATTTAGTCCTTTGAGGAGCATAATAGATAATGTTTTTATGAAAGACAGTTCAAAAAATTTTTTTTGCATTTTTTCATTTAATATTACGCATTTTATTAATTGACAAATGGACTTTCATTTATGGGCTAAGTGCATTGATTGCATTTATTCTTGCTCTTTCGGTCAAATACATTTAAATCATAGTTATCCTTAGGCCTTGTTTTCTTATGATCTCATGGAATTTTATAGCTGAAAAGGGATTGTATAAATTACCTCTCAGCCTCATTTTAAAGATGAAGATGAAGAATACAGAGAGGTTAATTCCATTGCAAAGCAGTGATGGAGCTAGAGCTTCAATTCAGTCTCTTGGCTGGGTCCTTCATTTCCTAATACTAAACTGACTTTTTAAAAAAAAACCATTTTTCTTATGGAAAAGTATGTATCAAGCTTCCAGCACATGGTTTCAGTGGACGCCCCTCTCTGCATTCTGCAGGTGAGCTCCTGGGTGACGTGGCTGATCCTCACGGCGGGCTCCATGGAGGAGAAGCGGGAAGTCTTCTCATATTTGGTGCACGTGGCCAAATGCTGCTGGAACATGGGCAACTACAATGCCGTCATGGAGTTCTTGGCCGGCCTCAGGTATGGGTGGTGGGGAATATGGTTTTCTGGGGGGTTTCCTCTTACCAGCTGCATGGCACTGAATTAATTGTCTGGGTAACCATATTTACCCAAACCAGACAATTAGTCGTGATTATTTGGGGGAAATAACCTCTGCTAGCACCACAATCCGTGTCCCTCAAAGATGCTGCAGAATTCAGAAGTCACGATCCTAATTCACTGGGTCTGCTCTGATCCCATGCTCTTGGCCAAGCTAAGTATCTGATTGCATAACTCCATCAACCCCATCAATGACCTGTCTCTTCCCCTGCCTGCCCTGTAAGCCCCACTGTTACCTATCTCTTCCCAGCTCTGCCTTACGAATTACCCCAGCACTATAAGCTCCCAACTACTGACTGCCCTTAAAAATAACAGTGGTCACCACTGATAATAAGCATTGAATAATGTTAGCTCTCATTTTTATTGAACACTTACTATGTGTCAAGCATTGGACTAAGCATGTTCTATGCATTAAATCTTTTAATTCTCAGAACAGTTTTTGAGGTAGATACTATTATTATTCCCACACCATACAAAAGAAGAAACTTCTAACTAAGGTAAGAAGAAATTAAGTCATTCACCCAAGGTCACCTGGCATGGCTGGGATGTGACTGCCGGCCACCCTGAGTTCAGAGTCCGTGCCCTTAACCTCTGTGATATCCTGCTCTTACGCCTTCTCCATCAAACTAATAATAAGATCACCATTCTGCCAATAAAGCCTCCTGCCTTGTTCCGTTTCAGCTTTGGTTACCTTGCACAAAGTAGCTGCTTCTCACTCTTGCAGGTGAAAGTGTGGTGTGAAGGAGACGAGTATGAATGGTCGAATGAGAATAGCAGAGAATCAAATCCTGGCTCCCTCCCCTGAATAGCTGTGTGATCTGGGCAAGTTACTTGACTTCACTGAGCCTCAGTTTCTTCATCTGTAAATGGGGACAATAGTGAAAAGCACCTACCCCTTTACATAGGATTTAATGTGATAATGTAAAGTGTTGAGTATGTGTGTCTGGCATGTAGTAAGCCTCCGGAAAGAGGACCTGTGATTGCTGTTGTTGTTGTCTGAGATTCACCTTCCCATTGAGGGTTCTATAAATCTATAGATAGATCTATAAATAGATCTTGCTTCATAACACTTCAAGGTTTTTCTTTGACTCTCCAGGCCCTACATAGGGATTCAGGGTTGGGGGTGGAGGGGAAGATTCTGAGTTGGAAATTTTTCTGTCCTTTTGAACTTTCTCAACTAAGAATAAACTCAAATGATCATGTCATTGGCATTTAAAATGGTCATACAAATGCACCAAGCATAGCTCAAAAAAAGGAAAAATACTGGGAGAATAGGAGGCTTTATCCAGATGATTTGGTTCTCTTTGTGATAAATTTTCTACAAAGAATTTGTGTTACTTTTCTTAAAAAAAAAAGAATGATCATATTATGATAAAATAGTTCTATTTTAATGGTGCTTATCCTCTGTATTTGACTGGCAAACTGGTGCAGGCTGTTGTCTGGGGACTTCATGTCTTCTCTTCAGGATGTCACTGTCCTCACAGCTTGGCAGCTGTCTCCCTCCACAGTGAATGATCCAAAGGAACAAGGCTGCAGTACCTTTTATGTCCTGGCCTCAGGAGTAATACACTGTCACTTCTGCCATATTGGACTGGTCACATAGGACCAGCACTGATTCATTATGTGTGGGGACCACACTGCAGGAGGACGTGTGGATCTTTGGAGGTTGGCTGCCACATACCATGTATTAGAGCAGGGGTCTCCAACCGATAGTGGTCCATGGCCTGTTAGGAACTGGATCGCACAGCAGGAGGTGAGTGACAGGTGAGCGAGAGAAGCTTCATCTGTATTTACAGCTACTCCCCATCGCTTGCATTACCACCTGAGCTCCACCTCCTGTGAGATCAGTGGCAGCATTAGATTCTCATAGGAGCTCAAACCCTACTGTGAACTGCACATGCGAGGGATCTAGGTTGCGCACTCCTTATGAGGATCTAATGCCTGATGATTTGAGGTGGAGCTGAGACAGTGACGCTAGCGCTGGGGAGCGGCTACAAATACAGATTATCCTTAGCAAAGTGGTTTGACTACACAGAGACTATAATAAGTCAATTGCTTGCAGACTCATAGCAAAACCCCATCAGTGAGTGGCAAGTGACAGTTAAGCTGCATCTTATGGAGCAGACTGAACATAAGCCACATAATTCAGGTGTCACTGTCTCTCATCACCCCCAGATGTGACCATCTAGTTGCAGGAAAACAAGCTCAGGGCTCCCACTGATTCTGCATTATGGTGAGTTGTATAATTATTTCACTATATATTACAGTGTAATAATAATAGAAAAAAAGTGCAGAATAAACGTAATGCGCGTGAATCATCCCGAAACCATCCCCCCCCACCTCTGTTCCGTGGAAAAATTGTCTTCCACGAAACCAGTCTCTGGTGCCAAAAAAGTTGGGGACCGCTCTATTAGAGACTCTCTTGATACAAGAATGGCCTCAGAATGACCCGTGGAGACCTTGGGTGAATGGGAATTTTAGACCCAACTTAGTTTGAATTCAAAATCCAAGAAGTCCATAGAGTCAGGTAACTCTTTCTTAGGTGAGGAATAACCCCAAACGAGCTAACCTCACCACTGATTCCTGGGCACCCCAGACCCACTGCTACCTAGTTTCATGCTCCTATATTTGGCTTAAAACTGAACTGATCTTTACAAATAGATGGGTAAAAGTACCAAGTTTAGTAGCTCTTTGGCTGGAACAATATATACAGGAGGTAAGTTGCTAGATGTCCTTATGATGGAATGATTGTGGAGGAAGAGCTTATGTGTGTACTTTCAGGTTTGAAAATATTTAGATTACAGGTAATTGAACTACACCAAGATAACTGAAAGTTTTTTATTTTTAAAACCATTAGATGAGAAGGGGGCGCTTACTGTTAAGTGACTGCTTTTCTGTATACTTTATACATTTTGCTTCCTCAAACTAAATTCTCAGCTGTTTATAGGAAACAATTAGAAGTACAAAGATTTACATATAACAAGATTTACTCAATGTTAATGTCAATGTAAAATAACCCAAGTGTCAACTACACTTCAGTTTTAAAATAATAAAATAAAATAACCCAAATGAACAACAATAGAAAAATGAGGGAAATAACATGATGCAGTCATACAATGGAATATTATTTAGCCACCAAAAATTATGTTTATAAAACATTTTTAATATCACTGGAAAACAAGTAACATAAAATACGTAAAACTACGTGGGAACAAAGCGGTCTATACTTAATAACCTCAGCAATATTTACACAACAAAATTTATTAAATGTTTAGACCAGAGAGACACAAATACAATAAATACTGGAAGGAAATATACCTAATGTTGTCTGTGGGTGGAAGAACTACGGGTGGATTTTCTATATTTTTGGTATTTTCCAGGTCGTCTACGATGGGCATCTACTACCTTTATAATCATAAAAAGAAATAGAGGTTTTTTAAAAGTGTCAATTCTCAGTCTAACAAAAAATCATTTGATCTTTACTGAGGTTTGTCTTTTGCCCCCCAGGGTACTATGACGGCTCCATTACTCACGGAAAGAAGGATGATTAAATAATGAGAACCAAGTCTCATTCATGTATTCACTTCATTTATTTAAACCTCTACACCATGGCCCCAAAAGGACTCTCACCACCTTATAAGGAACTGGTTGTAGAACAAGCTGAACTTAGTGGGGTGAAATCAGGAGACAATTTTATTTTTCTGACCTCACTGTCTTTCAAACCTGCCAGTTGGCTCTCCTTCCCCTAACTCTGGGTCGTGTCTCTGGGGACGCTGTGTCTTTCCCCATCACTTCTGTGGTTAATAAGCAGTCTCATTCACCTACGTCCATGAGCGTGAATGAACCTGAGAATCGTACGGCAATGCCACAAAAGCAGGTTGCCTGAGAGTTACCTACAGCGTGACACCGTTTGTATGAAGTTTAAAAATGCACAAACAATTCTACAAACTGCTTAGCGATATCTGCGTGTGTTGGGAAAGTATCAGGAATTGTAAGGGAAGGAGAGCACTAAAGTCGCAGTTGTGGTCCCCTGTGGTCCCCTGTGGTGAGAGAGGGAGGAGGATATGCTCGTGGAGGAATCCACTGGGGCCTCAATCATATTATTAATGCTTTATTTTTTTAAACTGAGAGGTTGATGTGTGGGTGTTTGTCATGTTGTGCTTCTTTATGTCTTTTGGATATCTTAGATATTACATAATGATCTTTTAATCCAGTCTGATATAAATCAAAACTTCAACTTCTCATTTAAAGCTTCACTCTTTCCCCAATTTTGCAGCCCAACCAGTCTCAGAAAGCTGCGGGAGTGTGGGAAGATATGGTTTATCTTTTCTCTCCCTCTCCCTCCAACTCAGAGTCCCTGCAGAAGAAATGGGCAGGAGAGGAGAGGAGAAGGGTGGAGGGGTAAAGGGAGCCCGTGTTACTTGACTGGGGCAGCGGTGATCTGGCCTTGGAGCCCCTGCTGAGAGCCATGAGGGGTGGTTTCAGGATTACTTCCTAGTTACCTGCCTTAACTTCACCCACTGTCCCATAGCCACCTCCCTGCACCGTTACCTGGTAAGGGGCAGTGCACCTCTGGCTGACTACTCAGTCCTCCCCGCTACAGTGTCTAGTTCTGGAAGTCCTACCCTCACAGACTCTTTCCACTAAGGTCACCTCATCGGCAGGCCTTGCAAGATAACTCAGGCCCCACTGACTCTCAGAGTCCATTCCTGACTCACAGAAACACCCAGCGCTTTGCCCGCCCAGAGTCTGCAAATGCGAGCCACGCCCCCTGGAACCTTCTCCCTCATGCTGCCATCAGGCAGCTCAAGGCAGCCTCTCATCGTTAGACTTCCCCAAGCAAATCACACACCAGTCAGTCTCTGACCAACAAACTGCCGGGACACGGATCAGCCTCTCCATGGAGTTCCCTTGAAGCCCCTGCACTTGGGTGATTTCCTCCTTCTCACATATGGTGCCCTGACAGCCCTCTCCAAAGAAGTGTTCCCTATGTGGCTGCTCAGACCCAGTTCCTCTGCTGATGGAGGGTGGGAGACCTCTGAGGGCAGAGCAGTTTGGGTCTCCTGGTGCCAACCCACTGCCTCTCTTTAGAAGGTGGGGTTCAATGTCAGCTGTTGTTCTCAGCAGCAATTTCAAAGTAGGAAAAATCTCATTTAACATCCTATTCTGCAAATAATGCTTTAAGATGATGTCCCTCAAGACAGGCCAGTGACTTAATGTCAAAGCTGGATTCAGTAGAAGCAATTCAACAGAAGAGGTCAAAACAGGCTTCGTGGGTATCACTGCGGGACTGGCCTAATCCAATAACATTTAAAAGATCAAGAGGAGTGGATGGAACACATTTTCTGTGGGCGATCCTCCACAAATACCTGTAGAAACCATATTACCCAGGAAGTTTCCCTTTTGGGAAATCAGAAAAACTCAAACTTAAGATCAGTGCCCACCTTCCGAAATTAACTCCTCCTACACGTGTGTGTTCGTTTTTTGGCTGCATTGGGTCTTTGTTGCTGCGCGCTGGCTTTCTCTAGTTGCGGCGAGCGGGGGCCACTCTTCGTTGAGGTGCGCAGGCTTCTCATTGCAGTGGCTTCTCTTGTTGTGGAGCATGGGCTTGCAGGCACGTGGGCATTAGTAGTTGCAGCACGCAGCCTCAGTAGATGCAGCACGCGGGCCCTAGAGCACGTGGGCTTCAGTAGTTGCAGCACGTGGGCTCAGTAGTTGTGGCACACAGGCTTAGTTGCTCCGCGGCATGTGGGATCTTCCCGGACCAGGGATTGAACCCGTGTCCCCTGCATTAGCAGGCAGACTCTTAACCACTGCACCACCAGGGAAGTCCCCACATGTATTTTTGTATGTATCTGTCCTATTTAATTTTGTGTTTCAATTTATTAAAGTAATATTCACATCATTTGGGGAATCCTAAATAAATATTAAAACAGAAAGAACATGAAATAAAATGAATTTTGTATGGAATTTAGGCTATTTCATGTAAATTATATTATTTCTCCTTCAGTCTAAAAGAAAAATGTCATTGACTTGTAATAGGTCAAGAAAAGTTTTAAAAATGTGGCAGTTTATGGACCAGTCTGACCTGGAGACGATGAGAAGCCTGAAGGACGCCATGGCCCAGCATGAATCTTCCTGCGAGTACAGGAAGGTGGTGACTCGGGCACTGCATATCCCCGGCTGTAAGGTGGTTCCGTTCTGCGGGGTGTTTCTGAAGGAGCTCTGTGAGGTGCTTGATGGAGCCTCCGGCCTCATGAAGCTTTGCCCGAGGTACAATTCCCAAGAAGAAACTCTAGAGGTGAGGCCTTTCAAAATCCTCATGGTCTGGTGAGTCGTTGTTGCCGCCTGGCTTGTCACTCACTAAAGCCAGAAGAGAGACCTTTCTGAGCCCAGGGTTATCAGTTGTCACTGTTGTGTTGGGTAATAGGTCCTTGAACGTTCCAGAGAAAAGAATGCCAACTAACACTGTTGGGGCTTAATATTAAGTTAGCTTTAATGGGGCAGTGTGAAAGTACAAGTGCAAATGGGTATTGTTTCCTGATTTTTTTTTAAAGGTTGATGGGGTTTTCTTCTCTCTTATTGGGTGGGAATGTCTGGGTGCAGGGGATACGAGAAGTCAAGCGATAGTGGTAACTTTTCTGGATCAGTGGAAGAAAGACTGAAGGGAAGTCAATACTGCCTTCCTTTCCTCCTTTGTGGGAATCTGGTACGTCTTCTAAGGACGAGCTCCGGGCTCCTGATCGCACTGCCTCCGTTCCCCCTGGCCCGTTGCTTCTCATTCCTGACCCCCAGCATGGAGAAGACCACAGAGCTTAGACACAGAGCATTGGGCATTGGAGAGAAGGGCATTGAGAAATGGAAGAAGATATGGAAATCTCTTATATAGTGTTTAGAAACGATAGAAGGGACTAAAAGGGGGGAACTTTACAGAGAATTTTGAGGAGTCCCATACCTGGAAGTCCCACACCGAAATCTAGAGTCATTCTCACCATGGTGACAGCACCCACTGCTGACCTTACACACACACACTCTCACACTCACACACAGCCCTTCTCAGTGGCAGTGGGAAAACTTCCTAAAACTGCAGCCTCTTCCAGGTCACCTGGGACAAAATCATTGCCTGGTATCAGGGAGACTTAGAACCTCTGACAGGTGCCGGCAGCACTACTGGCTTGCATCTCCCTGGCTTATGAGGGAGGGATAAAGTGCAAGAAATGGAGGGGAAAGCTTAAAGCAAGCCCCCCAAAGCTGCACCCACACCGCCTCCCTCATGTCTCAGAAGGCAGGAACACCCTATCTCATGGCCTAGCTGCCCCTCTTGTTACCGACCAGGGTTCTTGGCCTTCCCCAGCCAATAGAAATTGACTAGAGGCCAGACAAGAAATTCAGGCAAGGCTTTATTGGGGCCCCTGCTGCAGCTCCCTGAGCGGGGGTGGGGAGAGCTTGTTCCTTATATGGGGTGAGGGTAGGCATGTGTCCAGGGGTCGGTCCAGACGGGTGGCTTAGGTGTTTTGCCAACCCCTCTCGTGGTGCTGTGTGCATGGGGCATGCTCAGTACCCTGCTTTTGCTCCCCACTCTTCAAAAGTGGCAGTTGGGTTTTTTTGGTCTCTTTGTATCTTTTGGGTCTAGAATTTGCCCCAACTGTGCATGCATCCGGTTATTTTTAGTCCTGTACAGTTTCTTTGCATTTTGTTGCTGGAGGAGAGGTGTGTCCAGGTGCAAGCACTGCAGCACTGCAGCAAAGGGTCCCAGGTCCCAGCACTGCAGCAAAGGGTCCCAGGTCCCAGCAAAGGGTCCTAGGTCCCAGCCTGTCTCACTCTGACTTCTGATGGGAGAAACTTCCTGATCACAAATACAGACAATAAGAGCTTATAAACCAGCAGGAAGCCTCTGTGTTATACCGTAAGATGTATGGGAAATAAATAAAGCAAAATGTCCCCCTTTCTCTATCATTTTCTTGGGCCCCAGTAATTTTATCCAGTTCCATAGAATAATACACTTTTGTCATGGTTTTTCTCAATTTCACTACAAGGATAGAATAACCCTGTCCTTCCTCTGTAAAGTGGCTAATCTTCTCCCTAGGGAACCCTTGAAATAATATTGCTTTTTATGTTGTAAATTCAAAGTGGAGTGTTGATTCCTAGTGGGACTAAAGTTGTCTTAGTGGAAACAAGAGTGACTTTTGGTATTTCAGGCGGTGAAAGGAAAAAAATGTTTTTCCTGGAGGTTTTCTTCCCCCAGTAAAATAGGCACAAATGCCATTATTTATGACTGTTACGATTTCGTTTCCCTAGCTAAGTCGGTTATTTAGACGTAGTATGTGAAGTTGCAATCACAAATCCTCAATATATTTTTCTGTAGTTTGTAGCCGATTATAGTGGACAAGATAATTTCTTACAACGAGTGGGACAGAATGGCTTAAAGAATTCAGAGAAGGAGTCCACCGTCAACAGCATCTTTCAGATCATCAGAAGCTGCAGTCGAAGTCTGGAGACAGAAGAGGAGGACAGCCCCAGCGAGGGGAGCAGCGCTGGGAAGAATCCCCTGAAGGATAAAGCCCGATGGCAGTAAGTTTTACATTTTAAACATTGGGATGCTCAGGCTCCCCTGGTGGTGCAGTGGTTGAGAGTCCGCCTGCCGGTGCAGGGGACACGGGTTCGTGCCCCGGTCCGGGAAGATCCCACATGCCGCGGAGCGGCTGGGCCCGTGAGCCATGGCCGCTGAGCCTGCGCGTCCGGAGCCTGTGCTCCACAGCAGGAGAGGCCGCAACAGTGAGAGGCCCGTGTACCGCAAAAAAAAAAAAGTGCATAAAAAAGAGTGGATTTGCACCTAGCACCCAAATTTTGATTTCTAATAACATTTTTCAGTGAAAGAAAGCAAAGCTTCTTGGAGAAATGGCTGATTCTAGGACTGGGACAGGAAATACACAAGATGAGCCTGGAGCATCTTGTGCCAAAAACTAAAGAAGTGCTGAGAAAAAAAAAACAAAATAATGAGGTTATGTCAAAGAACTACAAGAGCCAACTGAAAGAGCTCCCGATTGCCAACTGGAACTATTTGAGCAACAAAATAAAGTAGTATTAGATTATAACCCAAAGTATTATATAAATATTCATGAGTCCATATATGTAAATGATAAATAAACAAATAGGGGAGAAGAGACAAATCTCCCATGCAGAAGAATTCCAAATAACTTATGTATACACTCCACCCTCTACAAGGTAGAGCAGAATTCCTTAAGTGTGGGCTGCACGCAGTGAATTCCTTCCAAAGATTACAGTGTAGAAAGGAGTTCTTTTTTTTTTTTAAAGTAACTTTGCAGTGGACATGACCAGCACTACCTCAGCCAGGTCGACATCAACAGAGTAAGTCGTGTTGATAGTATGTTCCCTGAATATGGTGTGATGAAAATGGCACTCTACCTCTGTGGTCTCCTCCCCAGAACCCAGAGCCCCAGAATAATTATGAGAAAATTAGAAAATTATCGGGCAAATTCTAATTGATGGTCATTCTACAAAATGCCTGACCACTGCTCCTCAAAATTGTCGAGACCATCAAAAACAAGGAAAGTCTGAGAAACTGAGAAAGTCTGAGAAACATAAAGAAATATGATGGTTAAATGAAATACGGATTCCTGGATGGAATCCTGGAACAGAAAAGGCAAATGGGTAAAAAACTAAGGAAATCTAAACAGAGTATAGACTTTAATAAATAATAATGTATCACAGTATTGGTTCATGAATTGTGTCAAATATACCACCCTTAATGTAAGATGTTAATAATAGGGAAAACTGGATGTGGGGTATACTGTCTTTGCAATTTCTCTACAAATCTAAAACTATTCTAAAATTAAATTTTTTTTTAAAAAAAGCTAATGTTTTTGAATAGTTTCAAGTGAATGCATGTGTAACTACCACCCAGAGTGAAAACATTGTCAGCACCCACAAACCCCTTGTTTTCCTTCTCAATTATGTCACCACCTCTCTCCCTAAAGAAAAGTTCACTGCTGTGATTGTATGATAGTACATCCTGCTTTTCTTTATAATTTTACCACTGTTGTGTCCCTCTAAACAATATAGTATAGTTTTCCCTGGTTTTGAAATTTATATTAATGTAATCATACAGTATATATGCCTGTATGTTTGGCTTAAGATTTGTCCATGTTGCTGCAGGCAGCCAGCCATTGCATGTTCATTTTCATTGCTGTGCAGGATTGTGTTGTATGAATTACTTCAAATTTTATTTATACATTTTATTGTTGCTGGACATTTGGGTTGTTTCCAGTGTTTCCAGTGTGGGTGATTTGAAAAGGATATTCTGACCATCAGGTTTGTGAGATCCCTTGTGGATTTCTTTTCTTTCTTAAGAATATCTATTTATGTGGGGCAAGGAAGAAGAAGCTCTTGCTGTTTGAAAGCAGTAGTGGGATCTTGCTCAGGGACCAGGATCTAGCCTGGGAGTCCGAGAAGCCCAGGGCTGCTGTTCATGCCTTGCCAAGAGGCAGTCGGCTGCCCGACTGCCTCAAGATGATGGGAACATTCCTCCCCAGGGATGTATGGACCCAACTCCTTCTCAGTTTTTTCCACCACTTTGCTAGTGATATCTATGGATCAAACAGCAGAAAGCTTGATCTTAGTAACAATTCCTCATGCTTCGAAGAGAATGAGTCTCTCTTAGGCATGTTCCTACCAAGTGGCCAAATAGAAAGGAGGCAATAAAGGCTCCCTTGCCTTCCCCCTAAGATCCTTCTGGCCCTGGTAATCCAGGTCCCTGACTCAGGGAAGGCAACGTGCTAAACTGTCCAAGCAGACAAGTCCTTTATGTGCCCATGTGCACACACAGGCGCACACACACATACAGTGAAAATCTAAGGTTGAGTCAAGGAGGGCTGTTCTTGCTCATCTGGTACCATGACAGTATTTCCCAATGAGTGCCTTTGAACTAATTGTATTTTATTTTTAGCAGAGGCACTTCGCCGGCCCACTTATTAAGTCTTGTTTTGCCTATTTTAGCCCCATTGTATTTTGTTATGACCAAGTAGAAGGCAATGCACCTAGTAATAAATAGCCCAGGCTAAAGGGTCAGACAGACCGGAATCCTGCCTTGGGTAGGTCTCTTCTGAGTTGGGTAACCTGGAGCAGTTACTCATCCCTTCTGAACCTCAGTTTCCCCATAGGTTAAAAAAAAAATAAGAAAACTTACTTTGCAAGTAGGTCAAATAAAGTGCAAAAATGTATGTATTTAACACAGTTCCTGACACAAAAGGAAAAACTAATAAATAATGAAGATTATCGTTGTTTACATTAAAAATGCAATAACTGGGGACTTCCCTGGCGGTCCAGCGGTTAAGACTTCGCCTTCCAATGCAGAGGGTGCGGGTTCAATCCCTGGTCAGGGAGCTAAGATCCCACATGCCTCGCAGCCAAAAAACCAAAATATAAAACAGAAGAATAGTGTAACAAATTCAGTAAAGACTTTAAAAATGGTCCACATCAAAAAAAATCTTTAAAAATGCAGTAACTGATCTAGTAGTTCCTTTCTTTAAGCCTTTGGTCAGACATATTGTTAAATATAAGGTTTTCAAATACAGCTAAAAAGATTACTCTGTGACTTTTAGGATTTTATATTTTCTATGCTAATTTGAATTCATAGTGGAATTAAAAATGGTGTCCAGTGTCAGTGAAAGCTTTTTGTTGTTCTTACTTCTGATTATAAGACAGACCAAATTTGTATCCCTATCAGGTTTATAATTGGAGATTTGTTGGATTCTGAAAATGACATCTTTGAGGAGCCCCAAGAATGCGACCCTCATGGAACAGAAGAGCCACAGAAGGCCTTTGACCATGGGACAGAGCTCATCCCGTGGTACGTGCTGTCCATCCAAGCTGATGTGCACCAGTTCCTGCTGCAGGGGGCCACGGTCATCCACTATGACCAGGACATGCACCTCTCTGCCCGCTGCTTCCTCCAGCTTCAGCCTGACAATAGCACCTTGACCTGGATAAAGCCCACCACTGCTTCCCCAGCCAGTGCTAAAGCAAAACTTGGTGTGCTTAGTAACACATCCGAGCCTGGCAAATTCCCATTACTGGGCAATGCTGGATTAAGTGGCCTGGCAGAGGGGGTCTTGGATATGTTTTCAGCAAAGGCTGTGTACATGGGACACCCTAGCATTGATATACACACTGTGTGTGTCCAGAACAAACTGAGTAACGTGTCTCTCTCAGAGACTGGTGTGACACTGCTCTACGGGCTTCAGACCACGGACAATAGATTATTGCACTTTGTGGCACCAAAGCACACAGCTAAAATGCTCTTCAGTGGATTGTTGGAACTCACGAGAGCTGTGAGAAAGATGAGGAAGTTCCCTGACCAAAGACAGCAGTGGCTGCGGAAACAATACGTCAGCCTCTACCAGGTAAGGGGTACAGCCTTCCCTCTCTCCTCAGTGGTATAATTCTCCAGATATAATTGTTATAAAAACACACTGGACAACTAGACCACCAAGGTTCATTCTCCCAGCTCTGTCACTTCCTACCTGAGTGATATGGAACAGCTTTTATTTAACGTCTCTGTGCCTCAGTTTCTCATCTATAAAGTGAGAATAATAATGATACCTATTCATAGGGTGACTGTGAGCTTTAACTGAGTTAATATGTGTAAAGCCATAATGTAAATTCATAGGTATAAAGAATAGTGTCTGGCTCATAGTAGGTCCTATTATTATTTTGTACAAAAACAGTGACTGTGGTCATTGTACGTCTCACATCTGGAAAGAAACAAGTTAATATAAGCATTTTCACTTACTCAAAGTAAAAATGGAAAGCATTGTATATGAATGCTTTTATTATTAATTAGGGACTAGCTGATACATTGGAAACCTTCACTTTGGAAATTGAAATCCTGTTTCATCTTCTAATGTGCTCCGTGACCCTAGGAGGGTTATTTAACTTACTGTGTATTGCTGCTGAACTGTAGGACTTTTAAGGTTAAAAGAAACTTTCCCAAATGTGAGATAAACTCATACCTAGAGTTCTTCCAAACCAGATTTGTAGTGGCAGCAGCTCTTAGGAGGCGGTTTCTCACAGTCGCAGGTTAAACTGAGCGAGTTTTTCATTAACCCTAAATTATCAGGTACTTTGACACTTCAGCTAAGGGTGGCAGGAGGCCTGGGCTGAATGAGGTGGTGAGAAGAGACACAGGCATAACCAGAGTAGCACACTTGTGGAGGAAGGAGGGCAGAGATTGCTCGGAAACTGAGTCATAAACCCCACTACAAGGTGACACTGTTAGTGGTGTTGTCAAATGAGTTGTACAAAGTATTCGTTTTTTCTTTGCTATGCTTTTCTATCTATTGGGGAGGGGGGGAATTATCTTTTCTACTAGTGTCACAGAACAAATAGAAGTATGATTTAAATTACTCAAATGACTGATTTCATGCACTTTTCACAGTGCTAACATGTTTCTGACAAGTAAAAACATCTTCCTCTCTGGAATGTTAGTAGAGGCACATATAGGACCCCTTCTTTCCCCTTTTCCCACATCCATGCAGTACTTATGATAGAGATCATATCCTGAATAACTAACTTGATTAATGACTTAATAAGCACATAGACCTATATACACGATTATGCTGCACTGTGCAAAGCCAGTTTTAGTTAACTCATCTAAAATGGAAACCAAAATACCTGCTTCCTGTCTATTCCACAGGGAGCTCTCAGTGCTGCCAGCTGCTTGGAAGAAAGGTCTTCAGGAGCTATTATCAATATTGATTTTCTTTTTTTTTTCATAAATTTATTTGTTTATATTTTTGGCTGCATTGGGTCTTTGTTGCTGCACGCGAGCTTTCTCTAGTTGCAGCGAGCGAGGACTGCTCTTCGTTGCGGTGCACAGACTTCTCATTGCAGTGGCTTCTCTTGTTGCAGAGCACGGGCTCTAGGCGCGCGGGCTCAGTAGCTGTGGCACATGGGCTCAGTTGCTCTGCAGCATGTGGGATCCTCCCCGACCAGGGCTCAAACCAGTGTCCCCTGCATTGGCAGGCAGATTCTTAACCACTGCGCCACCAGGGAAGTCCCTTGATTTTCAATTACAGTCATTTCTCAGCCTTCTAGAATCATGAAAATCCATTCAAGCTGGGCATAAACCAAAATCTTGGGGCTCAATTACAATCACTGTCACAAAGCCTATGTGGTTTATTTGCTCCATTTGTTTCCCTCCCCATGTTATAGCATAAAGTAACTGAATTAACATATAAGGTCTACTTAGTTTCTCATTTAACCTGGCAACCTTCAGTTTGTGCTGAAGAAGGCACCAGCTGAGACCACGAACAATGGTCTGATGAGAAGAGGTAAGAGCAGAGACAGAGGAAATGACTTGGAGCAGGTTCAGTCCTACACAGTTGCAAACACAGCTACACCCCTTCCTACCTCCCAGCCCCCACCGCTCCACCCCTTGTGGAACCAAGTCATCACAATGTAACAGCAAAATAGCTCCAATATACCTCAGTCACTTCTGAACACACAGGTGACATTATTCCTCAAAACAATGTACTACATGAGCTGCCTAAGACAGGCAACAGTCTTAGACACTCAAGATTTCTTTCTTTCTTTCTTTCTTTTAAAGTGAAAAAGGTCAACGGACTACTCATTTTCCCATCAAATAGACCAGTTCCCAAATGATCTCAGGAAACATCAAAAAGATGCTAATTTCGTACTTGGAGAACAAAAGGTCAAGCAGGCATCATGCTAAATAAATGCCCTGCTTGTCTGACTTATAATACGACTTAGCACATTTAAAGCTCTGAGAAGTCTCAAAGTACAACCGAAACCTACTTAAATGTATCTATAAATTAAAGAAATGTATGAAAAGTCTTGATTTCTTCCAAACTTCTGTTAACAGCCCTATAAGTGTATCTCTTTATCCCCAGTTTGGGAAGAGCTTATATAGAAAATAATCTTTCTGACATAAGAGTCCTTTTGTGTGATGAATGTTTGCACGGTTACTTGCAAATATAAGTATTTTAGTACTAGTAAATGTAAATTGATCTAATGGCAATAGTAGCAGGAGATAAAGCAAAAGACAAGAAGAAATAGTGACATTTGTAATGAAGCCTAGGAATACAGGAAAGTAAAAGAAAGTAAACTCTGCAGAGATTCCATGTGGGGTGTGGAGGAAAGGCTGGTATCATGAGCTTTGGCTCAAGGTTATCATGGGCAGAGCTTGCGAACTCATATACTTGGAAAGATCTCTGGGAAGCTGAGAAGGTTATACACAGGATTATCAGTAAACTTCTTTGATTGTAAGCAACAGAAACAGATTCTGGCTATCTTTAAGGGAAAAAATGGGATCTATTTAAAGAATTAGATTAGTTTCACAGTCTTTAAGATATCATATGCATAGATTTGCTGGGTTAAAAGTGCATGAATATTTTTTAAGGAATTAATTTCCTAATCCTCAACTTCCACGTGAACTGTTTTCTAAAACTGAGAGTGAACCTTCACTCACAATAGTCCTTCTCCCAAATTAAAAATAGAAGGACATATTTCACCTATCCTAAACAAGTTTATTGTTTTGTATAAAACGAAAGAAAGATTCAAACTACATTTTAGTTCCCAGAGAGTCTCCTTTAAAGATTAAACGAAAGCATCCTGCCTTTTCCAGGCCTAAAATATTTCCATTAAAAGTAAAGCTTGGCACACGTTGACCTGTTCTGAATTTAGAAAAGCCAAAGCAGTGGAGGCTGATTCTTTTATATGTACACGGTAATGGATCTATTAAAATTTTATATTAAATATTTTATTTTTTAGAGCAGTTTTAGGTTTATAATAAAATTGAAAGGAAGGTACAGAGATTTCCCATAAACTTCCTGTCCTCATGCCTGCATGGCACCCCCATTATCAACATGACTCACCAGAATGGTACATTCTTTACAAAGGATGAACCTATGTTGACACATCGTAATCACTCAAAGTCCATAATTTACCTTAGAGTTCACTCTTGGTGCTGTATGTTCTGTGGGCTTGTGCAAATATTTATTGACATATATCCATCACTATAATATTATATGGAACATTTCTTATTTATTTATTTATTTATTTTTGCTGTGTTGGGTCTTCGTTTCTGTGCGAGGGCTTTCTCTAGTTGCGGAGAGCGGGGGCCACTCCTCATTGCAGTGCGCGGGCCCTTCACTATCGCGGCCTCTTTTGTTGCGGAGCACAGGCTCCAGACACGCAGGCTCAGTAGTTGTGGCTCACGGGCCTAGTTGCTCCACGGCATGTGGGATCCTCCCAGACCAGGGCTCGAACGCGTGTCCCCTGCATCGGCAGGCAGACTCAACCACTGCGCCACTAGGGAAGCCCCTTATATGGAGCATTTCCACTGCCCTAAAAATCCTGTGTGCTCTGCCTGTTATCTCTTTCTCCCACTCCACCCCCACCCCTTCCCCCAGTCCCCTGCAACCACTGATCTTTTTATTGTCTCCATAGTTTTGCCTTTATCAGAATGTCGTATAGTTGGAATCATACAATATGTAGCCTTCTCAGATTGGTTTCTTTCACTTCGTAATATGCATGCAAGTTTCCTCCCTGTCTTCTTGTAGCTTAATAGCTTTCTTTTTATTCTGAATGAAATTCCATTGTCTGGGTGGACCACAGATTATTCATTCATTCACCTACTAAAGGATTTCTTTGTTGCTTCCAAATTTTGACAATTATGAATAAAGCTGGTGTAAACATCCATGGTCAGGTTTTTGTGTGGACATAAGTTTTCAACTCATTTGGGTAAATACCAAGGGGTGTGATTGTTGGATCATACAGTAACAGTGTGTTTAGTTTTGTAAGAAACCAAACTGCCTTCTCAAGTGGCTGTATGATTTTGCGTTTCCACCAGCAATGGATGAGAGTTCCTGTTGCTCCACAACCTCACCAGCATTTGGTGTTGTCAGTGTTCTCAATTTTGGCCATTTTAATAGGTGTGTATTGGTTTCTTGTTTCATTTCGCATTTCCCTGATGACATATGATATGGAACATCTTTTCATGTGATTATTTGCCATCTGTATGTCTGCTTTGGTGAGGTGTCTGTTAGGGTCTTTGGCCCATTTTTTTAATCGGGTTGTTTATTTTCTTATTGTAGAGTTTTAAGATTTCTTTGTATATTTTGGATAACAGACCATCAGATATTCCTTTGCAAATATTTTCTCCCAGTCTGTGGCTTGTCTTCTAACTCTCTTGACAGTGTCTTTTGCAGAACAGAACTTGTAAATTTTAATGAAGGGGTCTATTAAATGCTTAAAGATGTGTTATTTAAAACCCATAGATAAAAATTTTACAAGGTTTCTTTCAGAGTATGTTATGCAATAAGGTAGTTAAAATCTATTTGTGAAATTGTGTCATGAATTGTTTATTCCACTTTGGAGTCAGTTGTAGTGACTTGTTATCAGGGACTCTCTTCAGCAGGCCTGCACCAGGTGGAATCTTCTCCAAGCATTTTCATTCTCTGTATCACTGCATTCAAGATTCATTTTCCAGGGACAGAAATTCTGATTGGCTTATTTGGATCCTGTACCAACCATTGATCAAGGGAGGCTGTTCCCCTTTGATTGATAGACCCAAGACTATATCTAGTGAAAAAGAGATCAAATAAAATTGGGGTATGGTTAGAGAAAAGAGAAATGATCCATAAACCGGCATAAATCACAGATATCCACGACAAAAGGTCACTAAAAGGTTTCATCAAATGTCATTCAAAAGATCATCAAGTATCCAAGTTACTGAGCATGCTGAGATCCATAACAGGATGCAGGAAGTGGGAGGTCACAACTCAAGTCATAAAATCAGATAGTCATTGAACGTTAGGATGAAGGAGCAAGCGTGCGCGCGCACGCGTACACACACGTACAGCCTCTTTATTATTTGCATACTATCTACAACAAAGCAAAATCTGTTTACAAGCACTTCTTTGGAATTGCAAAGGAGGACTAACCTTAAAAATCTGCAGAAAGTAAAGATAGTAAATGGAAATTAATTTTAAGAGGTACCTTTTCTACAACCTGTGAAATATCATCAGTATTGTTTTTAATTCATATGTGACCTTTCAGTAGTTTTATTAACTGACTTTCCTGACTTATAAGGAGACTTGTTGGCCACTGACCATTAATCAGGAGGGATTACTCATTCATTAATCAATAGGGATTGATGGATCCCTACTTACACTCAATGCATGTTCAGCAGAGTTGCCTTACAAGCAGCAGCTATTGTAAACCATCACCTACCCACTGAGTATGTTTTTGCTGCTCACGACATCATAATATGCATGGTGCTCTGAGTCCCCTGGGCTCTCTATCCTTGGATATCAGTCACTCAAGAGGGTGGCAGCTCCATTTCTCATGCTTTTTCTTCCTTCTCCAGCCATTAGCCAAAAAGGGTTGTTTTGTTTTGCGCATATGCCATTCTTAATATCAGTGGTGTACACCTCGCTTTATTAAAAAATTATCCAACAAAGAAAAGAAAAAAAAAAGGGGATCGCAGCTCAACTACTCAAGGTGTTCCCAGAGCCCTCCAAAGTGAATTTTGTATACTCCACCTACTCTGAGTTCAAGTCAGACTGTCCCAAGCATCGAACTAGGTGAAAATACACTGGAGTGATGCAATAGCAAATAGAACTTGATTTTACTTAAATAGATTCGTACACACATGTACACCCTCCAAGTCCTCCAAAGCCCAGATCTGCAAAGTACATCTTAATGAATTTGCCTGCAGTGATAATTCTGGAACATAACCTCTGAAACTGGGAAGGGAAATTTTTTTGTTAATCCCAGTTGAACGTGGCCCTATTAAAGCACATCACTGGAACTCAGCAGGGTGTGACCAGGACAACAGGGGACACGGTGAAATCCCCAACAGAGAGTTCTGACAGTTAGAAAACAGCCACTTGCGTGGCCAGATGTTATTCTTCGGTGACAGCCTATTCTCCACCTCTGGGAACTTACGGGAAGCTGTTAATATATTTACTTCCCCATTGCTCGCTCTTTCCTTATGTGTTCAGAATGTGGTTCTTTTACAGGAGGATGGACGATATGAAGGCCCAACTTTGGCTCACGCTGTGGAGTTGTTTGGCGGCAGACGATGGAGTACTCGAAACCCCAGTCCCGGGACATCAGCAAAGAGTGCTGAGAAGCCCAACATGCAGAGAAACAACACCTTGGGTATAAGCACCACCAAGAAAAAGAAGAAAATCCTTATGAGGGTAGAGTTTATTTATTAAGCATTAACCCCAGTATTCCAGGACCATTGTATGGTCTACATCACCATAAACTACCTTAGGTCATTTGGCTTGGGGACAAGATGAGGTGTAAAACAAATGAAACCCAGGAGCTTACCAACCACCTCCTGGATGCCAGGCCCAGTGATAGGAACTGAGTCAGCACCAGGGAAAATTCCAGGTCCGTAGAGGGACACAGAGATGTTAACAAACATAGTGAGATCTAAATAAGAGTCACTGTCAAGCTGTCTGCAAAGTGCTGTGGGAGCAGAGAGAAGGAAAATATGGGGCTGAATGGCAGTTGCTACGGGGTAAGGGGAAGGGGAAAAGGGGAGCTGTTCAAAGAGTTTCAGTTTTGCAGGTTGAGTAAGTTCTAGAGATCTGTTTCACAAGGTACAAATAGTTAACAGTACTCTACTGTACACTTAAAAATGGTTAAGATGGTAAATTTTATGTTTTGTTTTTTACCCAGATATATATATGTATCACTATATATTATATATTACATTATTTATATTCTTACTGTAACATGATAATATATTTTCTTCATGGTTAACTAGAAGGAATCCCAGTCTTTGCATACGGCAGGCCTAAGACATATGTTGATGCCTAAGTTGAACTTTGTCTGCTTCATAACTGTCTCTACACAGATTCCAGGGGTCTTATTCCTCCTCTTGTCACCCTCCCCAGAGGAGTGCTGCATTTTAGTGAAGAACACATGGGATAAATATAACACGAGAATAGCTGGTCAGCCTTCACATAGGTCTTTACTATTTTTGTCAGGTGGAGGTGGTATCGAAGGTGGGTCAGTGAGAAAATACGGACCCACCTGAACTAAGCAGTGATGGGAGAGAAATACAGAATGAGAAACGATGTGAGTTTTGTGTTCCCAGGGTGAGAGTGGAGAGGCCACCGATGACGAGATGGCCACCCGCAAAGCCAAAACGCACAAAGAATGTCGGAGCCGGAGTGGTTCTGACCCTCAAGACGTTAATGAACAAGAAGAATCAGGTAAAGCAGCGTCTTTACATCTGAGAATTTTTAATGGGAAAATATATGCATTTGGCTTTAAATTGTGATTTATATATTGTGGGCATTCTTAACAAAACTCTTTATCACATTATATACTTACCTTTGTGTTTCACTAGATGATGGAACCCAAGAGGTATTTCTGCAAATACAAGATTGCAAACACAAGTGTAATTAAGAAGAAAATTCTCATTAAGTAACTTGCCATTACTGACAAGGAATATTAGATATAAAAGATACAAGTTGATAGATTAGACCAGTGATTCTTATCCCCTGGCTGGATATCAGAGCTTTTAAAAAATATCTGGATGCCACACCCCAGCCCAACTGATTTAGACGCTCTCTGTCTGGGACCTGGACATCTATGCACTTTTTTAGTTCCCCAGATGATTCTTTTTTTTTTTTTAATTTTTACCATTTACTCATTATTTGTTTATTTATTTATCTATTTGGCTGTACAGCATGCGGGATCTTAGTTCCCCAACCAGGGACCAAACCCATGCCCCCAGCAGTGGAAGCACAGAGTCCTAACCACTAGACCGCCAGTGAAGTCCCACTCCCCAGATGATTCTGATGTGTAGCCAGGACTGAGAACCCACCAGAATATTTTGATGCTTCTTGTACATTAATTACCTGCATGGATTGATTTCCTCAGACATTCAGAAGCATCTTTGGTTTTCATTTGATTTCTGAGGGCAAGTATAATCGGAGTCATTGTCTCTTTTCTTTCACCCTCACAGAGGCGAATGCCATCACGAGCCCTCCTAACCCTCTCCCTTCCAGAAGAGCCCACTCTTTGACCACGGCTGGGTCCCCTAACTTGGCTGCCGGGACATCATCTCCCATCAGGCCAGTGTCCTCCCCTGTGCTGTCTTCTTCAAACAAGAGCCCGTCCAGGTGGGGCCTTAACATGATAAAACAGAAGGACCCTTCACACCCTTCAGGTTGTGTAGAAGGGCATCCTCTCCCAGTGCTCTACGGAAAGACTATCTCTAATTTTGACTTAACAATCACATTAAAACGGAAAACCCCCAATTTTTTTAAAGGTCCTAATTTTCTTGATTTTGTATTCCTACCTTCTCATATTACTATAACTGCTTCTCATTTTTTGACAAAGATCAGTAGCAGTAACAAAATCCGAGCTGTGAGTCTCTAAATCTGCACTGATATAGCAGCTGCTAGCCACAGGGAAAAAATGTTAAGTGGCTATTTAAATTCGAATTTTAATTAATTAAAATTAAATAAAATTTCAAATTCAGTTCCTCAGTCATGCTAGCCACATTAAAAGTGTTCCATAGCTACCAGTGGCTGGTGTCTACTGTACTGAACAGTGCAGATAAAGAACATTTCTATCATTGCAGAAAGTTTTATTGGATAGCACTGCTCTAAACGAAGAATAAATTAAGTTTTAATGTAAGCAGCTTGACCCTTTGCTAATAGGTGAAATATATTTTGCACTCTTCTCATGTTTGAGATATACACATCTAGAGAAGTGAATGTCTTACAGCAAGTTAGATAGGTTTAGCTGGTATTAGTGTAAATTATTTTGTAAGGTCCATGCAAATTACAGATTTGAAACAACAGCTACCCTCTCAGAAGAAATAATATTAAAATGAAAGTCTTTCAAAGGAATCAGAACGCCACATCATCTCCCTCAGCCCCATACTAAAGTTTAAGAAATGCAAAGATTCAACAGAACTATGATAAGACAGACATTCTTTACTTCGTCAAACAGAGGAATGGGAGAAGGAAGTGAGTCTGTACAGATATTGGCTTTAGAAACGTTAATTTTACACACGTGCGCGCGCGCGCGCACACACACACACACACACACACACACACACACACACACACACACACACCACACACCTCCTCGCCCCTTCCTCTCTTCCTGGGAAGCTTGCTACAGAAAAGAACCCTACAGTGGCTCATCTTTTAAAGGGAAGCATCCTTTCACAATATGATAATGAACATAATTTCTACACTTGATGAAACTGGGTTACAGGTACATGGGAATTCTTTATACCACTCTTGCGAGGTTTGTAGGGGTTTTTTGGGTTTTTTTAAAATTTATTTATTTTATTTATTATTTTTGCCTGCCTCGGGCCTTCGTTGCTGTGCTCGGGCTTTCTCTAGTTGCGGCGAGCGGGGGCTACTCTTTGTTGCGGTGAGCGGGCTTCCCATTGCGGTGGCTTCTCTTGTTGCAGAGCATGGGCTCTAGGCCCGCGGGCTTCAGTAGTTGTGGCTCGCGGGCTCTAGAGCGCAGGCTCCGTCGTTGTGGTGCACGGGCTTAGTTGCTCCGCGGCATGTGGGATCTTCCCGGACCAGGGCTCGAACCCGTGTCCCCTGCATTGGCAGGTGGATTCTTAACCACTGCGCCACCAGGGAAGCCCAGTTTGTAGGTTTGTAACAAAATTAAAGCTACAAAGAATCAGAATTCTTTACATTATATTTCAGTCTATACAGTATCCCGGGTAAATAAAATAGCCAGAGAACTTGGATTAAGTGGTCTTTCCCTTTATTTTAATCACTCATAAGCAGGAAAAGGAAGGACAAAGTAAAGGAGGAAAATCTTTTCAAAGAGGTAAAAGTAGAGAAACTACCATGCCAGATGCAAGATCAGAGGACCCTGCCATAGAAGGACAGGGGGCAGTGCCCACCAAGTATTCTAAACCAGAAAGAGAAGACGAAACAGGAGAAGAAAAGTCAGCCTGAATGCTTTTCAAGGAGACAGCAAGACTGAGCCCTAGGAAGGGAACAAGTGGACTGATAGAGTTTCCTAAAGTCAGAGGGAGATGGGTGCCTACAGACAGAGGCTGAACCTGGAACCAGAAGGAAGGAAGGCAGGGAATGTACTTGTTTAAATGCAAATGATAAGCCATTTTGTTATCGGATCTTTTTCCTCTTCCTGAACCTCCACCCTCTGTTTCCCATACCACATTGGCGATCAATAACCCAAGCCTACAAAGTACAATAAATCTATCCATTTGCATTACTCTTCCATTAATGGAGGTGACCTTCTGATGTCAACACAAAATAATTTTTCATGAATAAACACTATTGGCAGGATTGAGGACAAACTAGCTATTCATTATAGTATTCTCTCTACTTTCTTACATATTTGAAATATTTCGAAAGTAAAAAATAAGAGACAAAAGCAAAAATGAAAAAAAAAAAAAAAAAGATCCTAGTCATTGATTTGACCAAAAACCAGTCAAAACATTTCTCATACTCTCCTCTCAGGGAACCAGTGTAGAAAATAAAAAAAATATTGTGAAACAGCTAGACTGAATTTTTGACCCAGTTGACTGATATTTTTATATTAAATACATCCAGCCTTGGTAGGTGCAAATATAATTCTAGGCAGAGTTGGCTTCTTTCCATCCTTAATATTTTTGTGACTCACATTTTCCATTAACATTAAAAGCCCATCCTTGTTTTCATCTAAGAACTGGTTAAGAAAGGAAAAAGAGAAGACCTTGATACATTCAAGATTTTCTTCTTAAATGTGTTTCTATATTTTAGAATATGGGAAAGAACATGCATAATCTTCCCTAAGTCATGACTGAGTAATTGGGAGCTCTTTTTTAAAATGACTTTTCTTCAAAACCACTGAATTTATGTGTTTTTTTCCTCCCATTGACCTGAGATTTCAAAGAACTGTTATGGTTAGTAGAGGGATATTAACCTCAACTTTGTGCCCTTATTAAATAAGCTATAAACATGAAGTGGTTTCAGTGTATAAAGTTTTACTTCCTCCGATGCAATGTGGATTAATTTTGAGAGAAATGAAAAGATGTACATAATTAAAGCAATGCTTAGAAAGAAAAGAAAAGAGCCTAAACCTTCAATGACTTGCAGTCCATGTTTTTGTTCATGTTGCTAATCAGAGAATGTCTCTTGGGGCAGAATGACAAAACTGGTCCCGGTTCTGCCCATTAAGGCCATGTCTTTGTTGCAGTGCTTGGAGCAGCAGCAGCTGGCATGGGCGGATCAAAGGAGGAATGAAGGGCTTTCAGAGCTTCATGGTTTCAGACAGCAGCATGAGTTTTGTGGAGTTTGTTGAGCTGTTCAAATCATTCAGGTATGGCTGGATTTCTTCTTAGCCTTTCTTGTCTGACCCTTACCTTGTTATAACAATGCCAAAGGTGAGATGTTCTCCATCCCACACCCAGTGTGAGGAGCCGCAAGGACCTGAAGGATCTCTTTGACATCTATGCCGTACCCTGCGACCGAGCCGGCTCCACAGCGGCCCCCCTCTACACCAACCTGACCATTGACGAAAACACCAGTGGTCTTCAGCCTGACCTAGGTTTGTGCGAGAATTTAATATTTCCCTTTGAGACCTTTCTACCTAAAGATGAAAGTTAGAGATCCAATCACACAAGCCCTTAGCCTGTCCCACATGGCATGCTGCTACCTGGAGCATTGTGAAATGCTTAGAGAATTATCTTTCTAATGGAGGTGTCAGCGGATAGGGTATCATTAGCATTTTGGACAAGGAAATTCATCACTGTGTGGGTCTGTCCATGGATTCCAGAATATTTCACCAATAGAGCCTCCCAGTCATTCTGACAACTAAAAACCTTTCCCACTGACTTCCAAAAGTCCACAAGGTATGTGGCATATCCCAGTTGGGAACCACCAGTCTCTTCTGTGCCTCCAGGTGGGTGGGTACTCAACCCCAGAGTGGAAGTTGTCTGCCCTTTGACAGGAGAGTTTTTCGTGACCTCAGCAGAGCACTTCTGTCTGAACATCCAGGACATTTTTCCTAATATGTAAACCAGAATGTCTAGTTCCTCGATCCCACTCACCACCACCATCATTACCATAACCACCCATGCATTTTAAGCCTATTATTTTTCTCTTCTGTTCTTGCTGGAAACTATAAACACTAAAAAGCAAAAACAAAAAAAAAAAGTCCTCTTTCACGCATTTGCTTTTTAATTATTTTAAAACATATTGTCCTTATGCTAAAAATATTGACCTTTTTCAACTTTAGTCATAAATGTGCATAACTATGGACTAGCCCAGTAGTGACACTTTTTATAAAATTAATAGACTTTATTTTTTAGAACAGTTTTAGGTTAACAGAAAAATGAGGGGAAAGCACAGAGAGTTCCCATATACCCTCCCACACACACATACAGTTCCCTCCCTTAGTAATATCTTGTATTAGTGTGGTATATTTGTTACAGTTGAGCCAATATTAATATATTATATTAACTGAAGTCCATAATTTACATTAGTGTTCACTGTATTGTACATTCTAGGGTTTTTTGTTTTGTTTTGTTTTGTTTTTTTATTGCAGTATGTGGGCCTCTCACTATTGTGGCCTCTCCCGTTGTGGAGCACAGGCTCCGGACGCGCGGGCTCAGCAGCCATGGCTCACGGGCCCAGCCGTTCCGCGGCATGTGGGATCTTCCCAGACCGGGGCACGAACCCGTGTCCCCCGCATCGGCAGGCGGACTCTCAACCACTGCGCCACCAGGGAAGCCCATGTCTCCATAGTTTTGACTTTCCCAGAATGTCATATAGTTGGGATCATATAGTATGTAGCCTTTTCACACTAGCTCCTTTCACTGAACAATATGCATTTAAGGTTTCTCAATGTCTTTTCATAGTTTGATAGGTCATTTCTTTTTTTGCTGAATAATATTTTGTTGTATGGATATTTGTCCTGTTGAAAGACATCTTGGTTGCTTCCAAGTTTTAGCAGTTATGTATAAAGCTGCTATAAATATTTGGTGTGCATGGTTTTTGTGGAGGTAAGGTTTCAGCTCACTTGGGTAGACACCTAGGAATGCAGTGGCTGGATCATATGATAAGTCTGTGTTTAGCTCTGCAAGAAACTGACTGTCCTCCGAGGTGGTTAGAATGAAAATGACTGGCCATACCAAAATGGGTGCACATGTGGAGCAATCAGGGCGTTGCTGGTGAAAATGTAAAATGGTACAGCCACCTCAGAAGAGAATTTGTCAGTTTCCTACAAAACTAAACGTACTCTTATCGTATGATCCAGCAGTTGTACTCCTTGGCGTTTACCCAAATGAGCTGAAAACTTGTGTTCACACAGAAACCTGCACACAAATGTTTACAGTTACACTTTTAAAGTACAGAAAAAACTGTAATCTTAAGGGTATGTCTTCCATTTCTGCAAACATAAAGATGTAGAAGTAGCTGGTCTCAAAAACCAAAGACTGAATACAGCCTGAAGTCCCCAAATAAATTTACATTTAGTTTCCATCTAATACTTAATCTTATGGGCTTTCAAAATCTTTGACCTCGCTCTCTCTTAGTTTCTTTTATTTATTCATTGATTCATTTTTGTTTATTCCTTCAACTGTGTGAACTTTATTCCTTCAACTATATTCCATCAAACTCCACTGAGTTTGATGGCTTGTTTAGACAGATTAGTGAAGAGTTTCTCCAGCTTAATATTTCCACAACACCATTATCTCCAAAATGAACTTTATAAAAGACGCTGGCCAGCCTGTCCGTGTTCTGTGGGTGGTTCTCTTTCAGATTTGTTGACCAGAAATGTCTCCGATTTGGGGTTATTCATTAAGAGTAAACAGCAGCTGTCTGACAACCAGAGGCAGATATCTGATGCCATTGCTGCTGCAAGTATCGTGACAAATGGCACTGGGGTGGAGAGCACATCCCTGGGCGTATTTGGAGTTGGCATCCTCCAGCTCAATGACTTCCTAGTGAATTGCCAAGGAGAACACTACACTTATGATGAAATCCTCAGCATCATCCAGGTTTGTACCCATTTGGTATGCAAGCAAATGTGTAAAGCCTCTAACTATGCTAATTATTTTCTGTAAACATTTACTCTTTCTATATTTCCTTCTAACACCTTTAAGTCAAGGGCCGAAATAGAGGGTTGGGTTTTTTTTTTTAATACCAAATATATGTGTTCTTATTTAACATATGATTAACATAGGTCCTAAGCCTTCTCTTACTCAGTGACTACTGTAAGGAATCAGTACATGATCGCTTCTTGTAGTTCTAGCACATGCAGTAGAATTAGTAGTTAGGTTGTCAACCACTTTGATTGTTTAACAAATGTTTATTAGCTTGTACTATGGACCTGGCTCTGTTCCAGGACCTGGAAATATACTAGTTCCATTCTAGTGGGTGTGGCAGACAATAAATGAATAAAAATATAAAGTAATTTCAGGTAATAATGGGGTCTGAAAAAATTGAGCAGAGTAAGGGGATGGAGTGATGCAGGAGGGCTGAGAGGAGTAAGCAAAGGCCACTGTGGGGAGGTGACACTTGGGCTGAGCCCTGAATGCGTAAGCCATGTGCAGGTCTGAGGAAAGAGCATTCCAGACAGGGAGTAGCAAGCAGGAGCGAGCTTGGAGTCTGTGAGGAATAACAAATGCCAGAGGGACAGTAGCTGACATGATTTCAGACAGGTGGGCAGGGGCCGAATCATCCAGGTATTTTAGGCCATGGGAAGGAATTTGACTCGAGTCCATGTGAGATGGGAAGCTATTGGAGACTTTTGAGCAGGGCAGTAACATGATTTGATTTGTGTTTTTAAGAGGTCACCCTGGCCCCACTGCAGTATAAACTGTGCTAGGGAAGGAGGAAAGCAGAGAGACCGGGTAGGAAGCTGTCACAGTAACCCAGGCGAGAGGCGGTGATGGCTTCTGCTAGGGGGCGGCAGGAGCTAGGGGGCGGCAAGATAGTTCCTTGTGGCTGCGCCACATGCAGCAGAATTAGTCTAGGTTTTCAGCCTGCCTTGTCAGCTGATTGGGAATCAGTGGACTAGCTGGCCAGCAACTGGACTTGATCACTGGCAATGCTAAAAATGTAAGGTTACGATCACAAGATTGTGTGCTCACTATAATATGATGGAGCGCAAGCACTGTGCCGAGGATTCCGTGTGGATTCTCTCATTTCACCTCCCACCAACTCTATGGTAGCTGCCGTTATGATCCCCATCTTCACCTGGATAAACCGATATCATTTGTTTTCATATAAATCAGTCTTATTCTTTTCTCCCACTCTCCTTTTTTCTCTTAAATAAATATGCTTCGTATAATAAACTCACACATAATTAATGTTTTCTTTTAGACTAAAAAACTACACCTTACCACTGCGTAACTAAATTAGTTTAAATATTTGGTTTAGATGTTTCCTGATGAAAACAGAACAGTTTTAAAAAATGATGTGGTGGTTTTTCCCTTTAGTTTCCTTTACTTAAATAACACTCTTTTTGTATCCCTTGCAGAAGTTCGAGCCTAGTGTTAGTATGTGTCATCAGGGCCTAATGTCGTTTGAAGGATTTGCAAGGTAACTTTTAAAAAATCTTTGCCTATCATTTAAGAGCATACATTTTTCAAATAGACTTACAAATGCAGAGAACAAACTAGTGGTTACCAGTGGAGAGAGGGTTTGACAGAGGGGCAAGATAGGGGAAGTGGATTAAGAGATACAAACTACAAGGTGTAAAATAAATATGATACAAGGAAGTAATGTACAGCACAGGGAATATAGCCATTGTTTTATAATAACTTTATATGGAGTATAATATATAAAAATACTGAATCAATATGTTGTATACCTGAAACTAATATAATATTGTAAGTCAACTATAGTCCATTTTTTTAAAAAAAGAGTATATATTTTTCCCATGCAATTCTAAGAAACTTTGTTTCCTCTAGGTTTCTGATGGATAAAGATAATTTTGCCTCGAAAAATGATGAATCGCAGGAGAACATTAAAGAATTGCAATTGCCCCTCTCCTACTATTACATTGAATCTTCACACAATACCTACCTCACAGGCCATCAACTCAAAGGAGAATCCTCAGTAGAACTCTACAGCCAGGTACTGAGAATTTCACTTGGAATATGCTTTTCATTAAACCTTATTTATGTAACCCCCAAAGTCACAAAAACCTGACCCCAGACTCCTTTGAAGAGCTTATACACTATTAATTGTGAAATGTGAGAAAACACGATGTGTGGGAAAACCACCTATACATACAGTTGTTTTCTTTACTTCTTTTTATTTCTCCCCTCCCCCCCGGCATCTACACTTAACCTTTATTCTAGGCAAAATTTAAAAAGTAGTTGTTTGAGACCCATAGCTTTTAGATCCTGGTTAGTCTGACCTACCTCTACTAAAATTAGATTTTCCCATGGGAAAACTATCTAATTGCTTCACTAAATGCTAAATAAATCAATATATTGTAGTGGGAAAGCATAGCAGAAAATGCAACTGTCTGTGAAGTTATTCCCAAAATATTGTTTGTTTTGGTTTTCAATTTGTCAGAAAATTAATCTATCCCTATGGCAACCAACAAAAAAAAATTTTACAGACTGCAGGCACTGTCCCTACACATTTAAATTCATGGGAATATTCTTGAAAACCCAGAAGGGTCTCTGGACTAGAAAAAGCACATCCTTTTGACCTAGACATCCAGCTCTCAATGATCCATATGTCTGTTGCTTCTGTTATATTTTCTGCAACATCCTTGTCTATGCTGCCTGTTTTCTGAACTCCCACAAGGTGAGTTAATTATGGGAGGAGCTAGCTACGTCCAGGTGTGTGTGTGTGTTGGGGGGGGTCCAACTGTAAAAACTGTACTGTTTACACAAACCCAGAAGACTTGAGCTTCCTTTATTCTGATAAAGGTCTATATATTCCTCAAAGCATTGGTCAAACTTCTGTCCCAAAGCTTATCTGGTATGGAGTATGTATTTTATTTTATTTTATTATAGAAATCCATTTTTAATTTATTTATTTTACTTTTGGCTGCATCGGGTCTTCGTTGCTGTGTGTTTTGGGTTTTCTCTAGCTGTGTGGAGCGTGGGCTACTCTTCATTGCAGTGCGCAGGCTTCTCATTGCGATGGCTTCTCTTTGTTGAAGAGCATGGGCTCTAGGTGCGCGGGCTCAGTAGTTGTGGCATGTGGGCTCAGCAGCTGCGGCTCGCAGGCTCTAGAGCGCAGGCTCAGTAGTTGTGGCGCACGGGCTTAGTTGCTCCGCAGCATGTGGGATCTTCCTGGGCCAGGGCTCGAACCCGTGTCCCCTGCATTGCAGGCAGATTCTTAACCACTGCGCCACCAGGGAAGCCCTGGAGTATGTATTTTAAACTCTAAAATCTAAGGAGCTTTTATTATGAAATGAAGATGTGTCCTTAGAGTAGTGATTTTCAAAATAAGAGTTCTGTCAAGGGGCCTCAGCTGCTGACACAGAAGAGCAGACAGTCACTGAAGAGCAGACTGCCACTGAAGATTTGCTCTTTTATGTACTTTATATATTGGCCCTCCATTTGTACCGAGTATTCCAAGGTTAAAAGAAGTTTGAAATCCATTGTTCTAGGGGAAAAAAATGAAGTGTGTGTGTGTGTGTGTGTGTGTGTGTCTGTGTGTCTGTGTGTGTCGGTGTGTGTATTTATCCCAGGAAAATAAGCAGGGACCATTGTCCTAGCTTTAATTCCTACTGCATATATATATTCATATATATTTGACATCAGGGAGGTTTTTTTTTTTTTATTCCTTAACATACACCTCAAGTAGAGATTGTCATGGCCTTTGAATAAGGCACAGAAACCCCTCAAATAGACTCACAGATGTGATTAAACTTAGTATGAAACTCCCTTTTATTTCACTTCTTACCACTCTCTGCTCTCTCTCAGCTCTCCCAGTTACCTCCCACGATTACTATATGGGGCAGATGAGAAGTGAGAAAAAGCTCTGTTCTCACCTGGAATTTGCAGCCCTGGTTCTCCTATTCTAGCCACATGTGGAAGCCTTAATGTCATGCAGACATTGATAAGGACCTTTAGTCTTTTCATACTGAAAACCCATCTCATCTGCTGCCGGTCAGTGAACATTCTTCCCAGCGAGGCTCACTACAGAGATGAGGGAGCCTCACGTCCCACCTGTCATATTACACGACAGTTTTCAGCCCAAAGCAACACACCTGTAGATACTCTAGTGCTGACAGACACTGATAGCCTTGGGATTCTTTGCCAAAGAATCAGTTCCCCCTGGGAATATAGGTCACCTAGGAAAACCGGGTGCTGTATGCTGTGCAATGGGAAGAATCTACCAAGTATCTCATATGAAAACATTAAAATAAGGGGGATTCCACTATCCAAGTTATGTTGCAGCAAGTCTAATGGCCACTAGCCCCCAGTACTGGACTGCTGTCACATGAAAATAGTTAGGTGGATTCTTAAATCAGAGAGTTGGCCTATTCACAGATATATCCACCTTTGGTTTTGGTTGACCCTTTCAAAATATGGTCATCTTTAAGATAGTCCACAAATACAGTCTATGGAGGAAGAAGTTGCTCCAAGCAAACGTTACAGAGATGCAACCCAAGCACATATATCAGGAGCTCTGCTTCCAGCTCTAGATCCAGAGAAGCAAATAGGTATCATCTCATCTAATTCACTGGTAGTGTTTCCTGGAGTTCTTTGCTGAGGAGGCTGTGAGATAACACATCAGAGCTTAGGGGGCAAGTATATTATGATTGATTACTGATGACTGCTATGGGTGTGCAGAGGGGACTTTATGGATTATTTGTCATCTCTGCTGTAGAGGCTGTGCTAGGATTAGACAGCAAGGCAAATCCTTGATAACTCCCTGCTTCTACTCTTCTCCCATGCTATATGTTCACAGCAAAGGTATTAGGTGGTGGCAGAATGTGTGTCTAAATAGAGGAGATTTTATCCTGATTGGATTTATATAAATGTTTGGCCAGTTCACTAAGGAATCAGTGGCCTCATTTCCTCATCAGCACCTGTGTCACCTCCACTGACATCTGCCCAGATAGAGTTATAGCCTGGCTGTCATTTCAGGATGCACCATGTGTAGGTCCCTTGAGGGACCAAAGTTGATGGGAAAATTGTCATATGCTTTTGCTATCAAATTTTACCTTCCAATAGTATTCAGCTCTGGTAAGCACTCTTTCTACCTTAATCTATTCTCTCCCTTCCCCACCCTGATAAATTGTGGCCTTCGGCCAACATGTAATATTTCTTTTCAATCTTAGGCCCTTCTGTTTTAGCCTGGAGAGTGAACACTGATATGTGGAAGCCTGTGCTGGGTTTAATTTGAGACTTTATCTCCATTTGCTCATCTGGGGTGGATTCATTCATTGATCCCACAGGTCCTCCTGCAAGGCTGTAGGAGTGTAGAGTTGGACTGCTGGGACGGAGATGATGGGATGCCCATCATTTATCATGGACACACCCTGACAACCAAGATCCCCTTCAAGGTAATGCTTCATAACTTTCTTTAAATCAGATCACAAAGAGTCATTTTCTTCATTCGTCATTTAAATGAATGACTCTTCCAAGTTATACCTTAGGTTGGGAGTTCTTATCCTGGGTCTTAGGCTTCCCCAAATTGTGTGGGATGTACACATGTTCATTTTCCTAGGAGTTGATCTAGAACTCTCCTTAGATTCTCATTTGACCAAAGTTTAGTAACCATTACCTTAAATTAGTTATCATGTAATAATATTGTTGAAATGTTTACATCATAAGATGATATATAAAAGGCAGGGTCTGTTCTCTTGCTGTAGGAATTAAAGGTCATTTCTCCCGGTGTCCTGCTGACAAAGGCCAACATCATGTGTCAGGAGATGATTAAATGACATTATAAAGTAATGAGAATTGATTCCACCTAGGGAGATTGGCCACCCAGGAAGACTGGTTTCACTGTATTATTATTGCAAATTCTAAGTAGTTTATTTGTTCATTGTGCAATTACTATCCTCATTCAGAGGGTCTTTGGCTGTAACATCATTTTTTTCTGAACCGTGGCTGGGCTGGAAGGAATTTTCTTATTTCTGTCTTGTACGTGAAGATGGTGGCTAAAATGCATTTTCTTTTTAACTCATTTTCCTATTCAGCCCTCTTAAAACTTTTTGTACCCTATATTGAGGGAAGGAGTAGTTGATAACTGTGTTTACATACATGCATAAATATATGTGAATATGTGATACATGTCTTATTGTCCCAAGTAGATTTGATTATAAACTCCTTGAAAGCAGGAAAGTATCTTACGCCTTATCATTTTTGATGCTGTAACTAAAACAGTGTCTTTTACTTATACTCACTATATATATATATATATATATATATATTTGTTAAATTCAGGATACTGATAGCTGTTCCTCATAGTATGTGAACAATACTCAATATGAATAGTTTAATGTACTTATAGAAAATAGCCTGTTGCTTAACTTGAAAATACATTTGAAAAGATAAAAATCACTTTGGCCAGAGTCTTCTGCATAAACAGTTTAGACGCTTTCTGTGGCTGTAAATGCCTTGCCTTTTGACACCTTGGGCAGATATCTGAACTCTCATGAGCTGTTTTGGCTCTCACAGGAAGTGGTTGAAGCCATCGATCGCAGTGCCTTTATCAACTCTGACCTCCCCATCATCATATCTATTGAGAACCACTGTTCATTGCCTCAGCAACGAAAAATGGCAGAAATTTTCAAGGTAAGGTATCAGCTAAATGACGGGATGGTATCTTGGCTTTGTCTTGTGACTGTTGTTGAGCTTAATTTGGGGCCACTGTGGACCACACCACAGCTGGACCTCAGCTGTGAAGCACGTACAGTTAAGGTCCCTCAGACCTGAGAAATAGGGATGCCCTGGGAGTTTGGGCTCTCTCTTGAGTGGTCCATCTTTTCAGCTGGAGTGATAGAAGCACTGTTCTGTGGTCTCCTGAGCATTTCCAGAAAACCTTCGGAGATAACAAGAGACCAACTTTCCAACACTTTTGGTACCACAAATCAGGGATGCCAGGATGTCACCTGTCAGTTGTATGTGGAAAAGCTGAAAATATCTCAGGGCAAATAAGTCAAATCTTCTTGTGGCCCAACTTCATAGATGGAGATCCAAGGTGGCGAAGAGGTTAGACTGGCCAGAATAGTGCTGTTAACCCTCAGCTCTTCCTTATACAAGGGAAATATAATGCAGACAGATTTAAGGGCAAATACGCCATTATACTTCCTCCTTCCTCCACTGGTAGAGGTGTTTATGGGAATATGGCTCTCAGTGGGAGGGAGGGGCATGGCTAGAGGGAAATGTCCCCAAATACTAACGTCAACAAAACTAATTAGCCTTTCATGTTGCCTTTTCTTTGCCATCATTTAGAATAATGGTCTCTAAACTTTTTTGATTGCATACCCCATCAGTAAAATATACCGTGTATTCCTGTTGTGTGTGTATTGACTTATTCGTAAATTATATACATATCCTACTTATTAACATATTTTATACATTAATTAAGACATGCAAAAATAGAACATAAAAGAGAGTAACATAGAAAGGATAAAGTAAAGAATAACTTTTAAATACTATTATTTATTAATGATACAAAAACCCTTTTGCTATTATAAAAAAATTTTTAATAAACTTATTTATTTATTATCTAAATTTTTAGTGGGAGTAATATGATTAAATACACTTCATTATTTTGGAAATTTTTGTGATCACTGACTTGAATGTCTGGTTTTAAGTTTAGTTTATTATTTCAATATTTGGCTTTAATGGCTATAGTAGCTGATAAAAATGCCTTACAAAGATACCTGTATCCAGATGGAAAAGGGATGTCATTAACTGCACTTGCTAAATCATGGTACTCATTTCTCAATTCCATTAATGAGGCAAAGGTTCTTACTGGAATTTGGCTAGACAATTTATATGTTTCCTGGTATCAGTCAGCTTTTCTTATAAACTAATTGAAAAGGTGTTGCTTTTTTTTTTTTTTTTGCGGTACGCGGGCTTCTCACTGTTGTGGCCTCTCCCTTTGCGGAGCACAGGCTCCGGACGCACAGGCTTAGCGGCCACGGCTCACGGGCCCAGCCGCTCCGCGGCATGTGGGATCTTCCGAGACCAGGGCACGAACCCGTGTCCCCTGCATCGACAGGCGGACTCTCAACCACTGCGCCACCAGGGAAGTCCGAGGTGTTGCCTTTTATATATATATATATATATATTTTTTTTTTTGCCTTTTATATTTTTAACATAAGAGTTCAGACTCCAGTAAAATCCTTCATTTAGAGGATTTTTTAACCATTAGAAAATCTGCTTCCAGGTAGCCTGAGTGTGCATACATAAGAGTTTTTATGTTAACACACATTGTTTCCTACAACAAAATCACATCACAATAGAAATATTTTTAGACAGCTGTCTTTACTCTTTCCAGAACACAGATTTTATCTAAAGAGCAAATACGTTCAGGCTTCCCTGGTGGCACAGTGGTTAAGAATCCGCCTGCCAATGCATGGGACACAGGTTCGAGCCCTGGTCCGGGAAGATCCCACATGCTGCAGAGAAACTAAGCGCTAAGCCCGTGCGCCGCGACTACTGAGACTGTGCTCTAGAGCCCGCGAGCCACAACTACTGAGCCCGCGTCCCACAACTACTGAAGCCCGTGCTTCTAGAGCCCGTGCTCCGCAACGAGAGAAGCCACCGCAATGAGAAGCCCGCGAACCGGATCGAAGAGTAGCCCCCGCTTGCCGCGACTAGAGAAAGCCCACGCGCAGCAACGAAGACCCAATGCAGCCAAAAATAAATAAATAAAATAAATAAATTTATTTTTTTTAAAAAGCAATTACTTTCTCACTCCGTGTTAAAACGTTACCCTTATCGTATAGGAGCAGATTAACAGGGATTTTATCATCATCATCGTCGTCTGGTAACAAAGTACAGCTACCCACTATAAACACAGAAAAAGTACGAAATTTTAGGATACTTTTTTTTTTTAAAGAAAATTGTATAACTGAGAATACTCCTTTAATTTACTGCTTTTTCCTTGTATAAAATGTGAGCTTCTATATGTTGTAAAAGATTTTCATAATCACTTTTCATCTCGTTACAAAATATTTCAAAGAGAAGTCTTTTTGTGAAATTAACCACATGCCGCCGCCAAAGCACCCAAACTGTCATCATCTCAATAAGCTGTTAGCAAACAAAGATGTGAGGGACTCACCTTTGCTCCCTCTGCGTCAAGAGATTCCCTCCTCGTCCCTCAGGGACCTTCATGAACAGTGCCTGACATACAGACTGAGGGCGCCATTTTCAGTCTGTACGTTAAGCACAAAAATTCCATTTTGTTCTTTTTTTCATTAAAAAATAACCAGAAATGGAAACTGACATGTTTTCTACCCTCACCCCAAATGGGTCGTCCTGTGCCTTCCCCCACCACCCACCTCCTTGGGGGATACACATTTCCCTTTGAAGACCAGTGCTTAGAAAAACTTTATGAGAATGGTGTCTGTGGTTCTTTATACTCAGTGGTGACAAATTCTCCCTATTATTTTTCATTTTTGTCCCCACTTCCTACCTACTTCAAGGTTTGTATCCTTGTGACTTCTTAGCCATGTCTGGAACAGACCATATTCTACAAATCACAGCCTCTAACTGAATCTCTTTTTCTTCTTTAGTACATCAGACCCCAGAGTATTTTTCTAAATAGTTAGAGCTGGGCCCCCCTGGAGAGGGGCCTAGACGCCTCCTCCTGGCCTTCTAACCACTTCCCTTCTTTCCAGTAAGAAACTATTCAGGGCTGGGGGGCGGGGGACACACGGATACAACATCTTTCCTAGTTCCTCTTCCTAGGATTTTTAGAACAATTCAACTGGGCTGAAATATCTAGCTGATGATTCAGGTATAGATAAAGGGCATTGATTATTTGTTTTCCTTTATTGTTTTCAGACTGTGTTTGGAGAAAAGCTGGTGGCTAAATTCTTATTTGAGAGTGATTTCTCAGATGATCCAATGCTTCCCTCACCTGACCAACTCAGGAGGAAAGTACTTCTCAAAAATAAGAAGTTAAAAGCCCATCAGACACCAGTGGATATATTAAAGCAAAAGGTACTGTCTTATTAAAGAAGTTATGAGTATGCTGTGTGCCCAGAACAAAGAAATTCATGTCATTCTAACCTTTCAGATGACTGATGGGTAACCAGTTTTTGAAGATTCAGTTTCCTTGAATGATACATTTGATTTTTGGCTTTCCACTGAATAGACTGATAAATACTCTTCCCACTTACATAAAATTTTATTTTGAAAAATTGATGTAGAATGTACCTCATTATTTAATTTATTCTGAGCAGGATAATAAGTGACTCTTGTCTCTGGGCCTGGGCTTCACCGCTGTCAATCCCACAGTGGTCGCTATAGTCCTCTTTAAGAAGAGTCCCCTGTCGGGAGAGCACTTGGACATGGGGTTATGACTCCTGAGGTCAGTAGTAGAACCCCAATAGCAGCAGCCCTGTGCTCCCAGCATGGAAGTTGGCACAGTGTATCACTGTGGCATATGGACCCCAAGGCACTTCTGTACCTGCCTCACCTATGGAGATCTAGTCCCCGAGCACCACAAACTTGCCTATATAGGAGGGCCCTCAGCCCAAGGATCTGTGAAAAAGTCCAGGTCCAGGACCACTGAGTCCATATACCAGGTTGAACTTACTCATCCCAGACTGACAGCTGCCAGAACTATTTGTCCTATTTAGGAGAGCACTGTTGGCCCTGAAACACCACTTTTGAAAATTACAGCAACCAGGAGTTGCTGCATGAACCTCAGCCCCCCGCAGGACTAGAATGGTGCAGCCCCGGCAGCGTGGACAGTCCAAAGTAAAACTAGGTCATGGCCTAGAGCTTTTAATTTCTCTCTGAGCATCACCTCCCAGCCTCCAGGCCCTACTCCAGCTCTGCTTTAAGTGGTTCCCAGAGAACAGATGGATTCTATGAACCAACAGATTTGGAACCTTTGTCCTAAGTCATTGATTAAAAAATGTCAAGTCGAGCTGTACAGCAGAAACCAACACAACATTTTAAATCAACTATACTCCAATAAAATGCTTTTTTTTAATTTCAAGTCAGATTGAGTCAAAAGTCCAGTTTGACCTAGTTGAGTAGTCTATCTGGAACAATCGTCAAATCTTCACTTCCATTAAGAATATTTGGATATTCTTCCATCTGTGGATATGCTTGGATTTGTGAATCTTAAGACGTGATTTCCAGAAGTCAATGCTCAGGGTCTGACAGCACAAGGACCGTGAAACCATCACCTCTCTTAATTTGAACTTTATACCTCAGTTAATACAACCTAGAACTGTTCTCACTGTTTAAATTTTTTAACGCCTACCAGGCTCATGTTGAGTTTGTGGAGAGCAAAGAGTTCAGTTATTTTTCACAGGACTAAACTTATGCCTAGTCTCCCCATTTTTCCAGGTTTACAATTAATTTTAAACTTTTGTGTAGCAAGAGTCTCACATTTATCTCTGTTAAACTTGCTCTTCTTGGTTTTGGTTTGTTGTTATAGCATACAAGGTTCTTTGTGGATTTTGACATCCGTCATCTAATTATTTATTAGCAGTTTTCCAAATTGTGCCTTCACCCAAGTTGCCCTTGAGCCGGACGGCCAAGTGGAGAGCCCTGTGGCCCTTCTTGCAGGACCTCCCTCAAGTTTAGGTGATTATCACTCTTGTCTGGTGCTCTCTTCTCTGAAGCCCAGACTTCTGCAGAATCTGCTTCAACCTCTTTCTTTATAGAATAGAAATTGAGATCTAGGCATTTATGGGACTTTCTCCAAGCCACCCAGTTCATAGTGGCAGAGCCAGGATTCTGATTCAGGTCTTCAGGGAACACCTTGTCAAAGACAACACAGAAGTAGGATACGTTGATAACAATCACTGGGGCATTTTCAAAGACACAGATTCTTAGGTCCCAAATCTGCCCAACTACATCAGAATTTCCATAAGGAAGACTTGGTAATCTGTTTATTTAAAAAATAATTCTTATCCCCCTGAAAGTTGGAAAATACTGCTTATCTGTTATTTCCCACAAAGTGAGTTACCTTACCAGCAAAGTCCAAAGAGGTTACTGTGTGGGAGATTTGTTCTTAGTAAACCTATGCTTCTTCTTGCTAATCGCCTCTTTATTTTCTGTGTTCCACAACCAAATAATCCATTCTGAGATTCTGTCAGGTATTACTTTGACACTTTCTACCATACAACTTCCACAACTTACCTCTTCCTCCTTTTGGAAAAATGGGACAATATAATCCCATTTTCAGTTTTTTAAAATCGCTTCCAGAGCCCCGTGATTTCCCAGGGACTACTGACAGTCATATCTGCAAGACCTTTTAATTGCCTGGCAGGTTGTGGGTCTGGACCAGGTGATCTGAGTTCACACAGGGTTGGGTGAATGCATGCCAGGAGCTCCAGTGTGCTCAGACCAACCCTCCAGCTTAGAAGGTCTGGGCTCTTTCTGTGCAAGGAGCTCACCCTCAGCAAGGATGCACTGACTCCGAGCAGGATTTCTGAAGCCCTCCATCTGCCTCAAGCTTGTGCTAAGGCTCTTGCCGAGGATCCTTAACTATACCCCGCCAGATCACCAGTATTCTACCCTTGGTCTCCTGAACTCCAACCTGCTAGACTCAGACAGTTCATGCTCAGTGACAGGTGCTGTGCTAGGGGCTGGGGGAACAGAGCAAATGAGACATGGCTCCTGCCTGGACCCATGTGAGCCAGTTCTTCACCTGACACCCCACTCTAACCCCCAGACCTATATCTGAATCGCTTTTATCAAGGGCTGGGGTCCTGTTCTTCTGCCTCAAAATAAGTAGGATATGGCAAAGAATAAGGAAGTCAGCTCTTGGCTGGCACTGGGCCACCTGTCCCATACTTCCTGCACTGGGGGAAGTACCTGAGCGTCGAAGGGACCTTGACACTCCACCTTCTGACATTTGCTGGTAGTGGGACTTTGAACGGCAGCACCCCCATTATTGGTTCTCAAAACCTTCTGTCGGGGGCCCACCAGGCTCTTGGCATCATCATTCTCGGTACTTGGCTCCACCCTGCATTTTTACTGCAGGAAGGCCCTTTGCTTATCCAGGACAGATAGACTTGCTTTTGTAGCTCACTTGTGCCTAGAGCAGATTTCCCAAAGCTTGGAAGAACGCTACTCCTGTGAGACACTCTGAAAAAAGAAAAGAAAATTTTCCTGGCTAAATAAGTGTGGGAAATGCTGCACTGGAGATCTTTGAAGGACCGTGATGTCCTTTAGCATATTTAATGAAGGCTCTATGAAACGCAGTTTCTGTAAGATGCTGTTTTTAAACTTCCATTGTGTTTTGTGGTTACTGTAATTCTCATTTTTTTACATAACAGCTATTAACACGCATGGAGCTAGTGTTCCATAAAAACGTTGAGCCTAGACAATGCCCAGTTATCTGGAGTAGACTGCATGTAAAAGATTTATCTTGATATCAACATAGCCTACATTGTATCTTCCTTATGTATATATTTTTATTATAAAGGTAATATAACCACATTTCAGAAAGCTTAAGGAAGAATTATTTTAAAACACATAATTCCAAAGCCAAACACAACTTGTATCACAAGGATTCTTAACCTTAGTAATATCCACAGACAGAATTAAGGGGATCCATGAAATTAGATGAAAAAAATTAAATTTTTTTTTGGCTGCACCATGCGGCTTACAAGATCTTAGTTCCCCAACCAGGGATTGAACCTGTGCTCCCTGCAGTGGAAGCACAGAGTCCTAACCACTGGACCAATAGGGAATTCCCGAAAAAAAATTACATCTTCATTTTCACTAACCTCTAGCTGAAAGTTAGCCTTTCCCCTGATTATAAATGTAGGGAACAAACCACAGTAAAGTTGGCAGCATCTATGTCTCTGTCACCAGTAGAAATCACAGATGTTTCATATTATATCACAGTTGTTGCTAATATCTCCAAGAATTATTTATGCTCATCACTATTTCAGAAACGTTACTTGACCTACCATTATATATTTTTTACTATGTTAATAAATAAACATATATTCCTATAGCACAAATTTTTTTAAGATTTAATAACTGTATCAACATTCATTTTTTCCTTTGTAATCTTATGTATTTTGTTCTATGCATTTAAAATATCATTCTGAGAAGGGACCTTACCTCACCAGACTGCCTAAGGGGCCTGTGCCATAAAAACAGGTCAAGAATCCCTACCGTATTAACATTTAATAGCTAGCCTTTTATGCACATCATTTTATATGATTATAATCATTATATGTAGACAGAGTTATTGAACAAAGGATATAGAATTATATATATATTTACATAGATACATGTATATATGTATATGCTTACATGTATAAATATTATTTATATCTATACACACATACAAAATTCTGTATCCTTTGTTCAATAAATACATATCACAATTATTTGTCAAGTCTTATTCTCTCAAGCAGATACACCATAGTTTACTGACGTCATTCCTCTATTGTTGGACTTTTAGGTTGCTTCCTGTTTTTAATTCACGCAAGTAACTTTGCCTATATGTTGGACTATTTCCTTATGCTAGGCTCCCAGATTTATATTTATTCTTGTGTCCTGTGATATTCCTTCACAGTAATTCTAGTCAAATGTAGAAGCACATGACCTCCCCGATAGCACACATCAATTTTCCAGAAATCTCTAGGCCTATTTTGTTAATCTGACTGACGGTTCAAATAATCTGACTGACGGTTCAAAGGTCTGTTGAAAAAACTTTATTTAAATCAAACTGTTCTTTTAGTCTCGTCCATAGGGATTCTAACATTTTTCTCAAGGTCAAAGGTCTTTAGATAGTATTTTAAGAAGGGGGAAAAAACCCAGTTTCTTAGCAGAGATTTACTTTTCCAAAATGGATGGGCTGATTTGCTTCTTCATCATTTGGGATTGATGGTGGTTCTCTGAAGCACCCAGGTTTCTCCTGGCGGGGTTGTCCTAGGAAACCTGGATGGCTGGGCACCACATACGGAATCCTTGTGATTGTTTCCTAAAGGCTCCTGGATTCCTCCTGTAGGGACGTTAACATTCACTTAAGTATTGACGTTGTGCTTTAAGTGACTATAGAGTTTTGGGGCTTTTCTCAAATAATCAAAATAGGTTAAGCCATTTTTTATGACTGTGGTAAGCCTTAGGTGGTCATTTGGTAAGCTATAAATGAAAGTTTAGTAGCTGGGCATCTGCAGTCTTTAATTATTGATATGTTACAGGCTCATCAGCTAGCATCCATGCAAGCTCAGGCTTATAATGGTGGCAGTGCCAACCCTCCACCTGCTAATAACGAAGAAGAGGAAGATGAAGAGGACGAATATGATTATGACTATGAATCCCTCTCTGACGGTAAGAAAGCCAACCCTATGCTATACGCAGGGAAGTGCCTGGAAGATTTTTCTACTGGGTTTTTCGGGTGTCTTTTTTTTCTTAGCAATAGACTTAGCAATAAGTCTGTTGCTCCATAGACCAAAAATACCGGTTGTTGTAATATTATCTAAGAGTTTCTGGAATCCTGCTGCTTAGCAAGAAGGACCAAGCAAGGAAAGGGATTCTGTCAGCCACTACAGACACCACTCAAGGAAAGAATAGGAGGGTGTGGGAAGCAATCCAGGGGTTGTTCCTAAATTGGTTTCTAGAGGAAGAGGTGGAATTACTGCAAAGAGACCCCATTCCCACCCTTTCGGCATCTGGTGTAGCGGATGCTCTTGGCAGGTATTGTAGACGAGGGCTGACTCTTTTCTCTCCCCTGTACCACCTGCAGGGGGCAGCATCGCGTTCCTGTGCCCTCTGCTGCTCCCCTTCACTCCCCGCCCCCCTTCCCTTGTTCTCACATTACTAAGCCAACCAGACATTTCCTTCTGACCCCACCAAAAAGATATGGGTGATGGCTAATGGTGCAATACAAAAAAGTCACATGAATGATGTTACTTACCTATTAAAGGTGAAGGATTCTTCTTAGGAGATAATTAGGTTTCAGTTGTGTTTCATTTGCACTAAATTAGTGTCATTTGCTAAAGATTGCAAAATGTTTTCTCAGGTACCACTGCTGATGGTAGACTGTTTAACTTTGGCAGCTTCTGAAAGACAAATATTTAGTAATGAAAAGATACCAAAGTTCCTGTTTATTTAAACGTTATATATGTGACTATATTACTTCTCTGTAGGATATTGTCTTGTTAATATGCAGATATGCCCAGACCAGCAAGCGTTTACCACTTGCATTAAGAGAATCAAGCTACACTCCTTCAAATATCTGCTTCTCACGCAGCACGATTGTCTCCTGGTCGTGTTTGGTTTTGTGAGCCTCCATCATAGCCAGCAGCTACAGTCCAACCCCTTTCTGCCCCCAAATACAATACTAGTCTCTGTCCATGTAATATTTGTCCTTAGTAATTGTTGATTGCTTCATATAATCAACTAAAAGCCAATGTACCCGACCTGAAGTCCCATCAGATAACACGAGGGCATATTCTCTAATGGGGAGGTCGAAAGTGGGAGAAAATGGGAAAGAGTCAAGGTCATTTCTTGTATCCTATTCCTCAGAAGTCGTGGGAGTATGAATCTTTTTATATTGACTTATTCCTCCCCGTGGATCTCTACCACAGTCATGGTAATGTTGTTTCATAGAACAAATTTATTTGATAAGAAATGAAAACCACATTTAAGAAATCAACCAAATCCAGATGTTATCTGCCCCTGTGAGAAGTTAGTGCTCTGGAAGATAAATTCACTCTCTATCATAAAATACTTCTGTGTTTTTTTCTGTACTTTTGAAAACAGGAAAGAAAAGACTTTTCTTAATTATTAGTAATAGTAGTATAGGACGTTTTGATATGCAGATAACAAAATGCATAGGGAAGGTGGGGGAAGGAGCTTTCTGATTTATTTTCAGTTAGGAGGGTAAAATTTAAACCCTACCCCACTGAATCTCTAGGACAGTTGCACGCTTTTTAAAAACCCACATGTGCTGGGGTGGGGTATACATGGAAAGCACCCTCAGGTTCTGCTCCAATAGACTGTGAGACCTTGGGTCAATGTCTTTTCACCACTCTAGACTTTAGGCCCCTCAGAGGCATAATGGGAGGATTTTGTCACAGGTTGTCAGATGTTCTCCCTTCTAGCACTAACATCTATGATCTATGACAGTTAATTCCAATACCACCACATGATAATTTCCCATTTCATTAAAAGAGTCCTTTGACTGGCGGATTCCCAAATAGGCCTTGTAGTTGATTATGCTGGGACTTATTTAAGCTTACCCTATTAAGGCTTCCTGATGCTACTGTTAAATGCCAGACAGTCTTGCACTTCCGGCCATGGTTTGTGGTGCCGAGCTCATCCCTGCCTCCTTCGCTCAACCTTACTTTCTCTGGCTGAGATGAGAAGAAAACAGAAACCTGCTTGCTAAGGGTAGGACCATTCCCAGCTTCTTAGCAGGACCCCAAACGTTTCTAAGCTTCTTGTAATGATGGATCCCTTTGAGGATGAGATGGAAGCTGTGACCAGTCCCCTCAGAGAAATAAACATGGTCTCAAATTTCTACATAAAATTGCAAGAGTTTTCACAGGTCTTCTGAGCCCCTCGCAGGCACCTCAGGCTAGAAACCCGTCTCTAAAGTCTGGGTGGCCCAGTTTATCTCTGTGACAGCTCTAGTCCTCAGTTTTCACATATATAAAATGAGCAAATTCATCTAAAACCTCTTTTGGCTATAAAAATGTGATAGTTCTGGGCTGCCCTGCTGGCGCAGTGGTTAAGAATCCGCCTGCCAGTGCAGGGGACATGGGTTCGAGCCCTGGTCCGGGAAGACCCCACATGCCGCAGAGCAACTTAAGCCTGTGCTCCACAACCACTGAGCCTGCGCTCTAGAGCCCGCGAGCCACAACTACTGAAGCCTGCGTGCCACAACTACTGAAGCCTGCATGCCACAACTACTGAAGCCTGCGCGCCTAGAGCCCGTGCTCTGCAACAAGAGAAGCCACCGCAATGAGAAGCCTGTGCACCACAACGAAGAGTAGCCCCTGCTCGCCACAACCAGAGAAAGCCCACACACAGCAACGAAGACCCAACACAGCCAAAAATAAATAAAATAAAACACATTAATTTAAAAAAAGAACGCTTTAAAAGAAAAAATGTGATAGTTCCTAGGCACAAAATTACTTCCAGAAAATCTAAAGGAAGTTGCAAATGAGGCTCAAGTATTTCAAGAACTGCTACTCTGCCTTTTGGCCACTAAGTTCTTGATGAATATTTATTCAATTAAATTTTATTAAATAAACATCAGTTAATTTTTTCCCAACCTTGCTGTTTATCTTGACTAGCTTTGAACGTGCACTAGAGTAGAGATTTGAATTTCCAACTTCATATAGACATTCTGTGACTTCGTATATATGAAGTCTAATGACTGCATGATTCTAACAAATTAATCAATTTATATCCATTTGACATAAAGTATTTTGGGGAGTATTAGGACAATCAGTAGCTGAAAATACGCAATGTGAATGTGGCAGCGTGATTAACGTTAACAATGTTTGCACTTCTTTTATTGCTAGCCTTTGTATCCCTTAATAGTCAAAATATTACATCGATGGAAGATTTCTTATTTCATTTACCTTGTAATCTAAGCTGTTGTTATTCATGCTTTGCTTCATACCTTAGTTTAATTTACCTGGCTTTTTGCCTTTATTTTCCTTACTTTTATCCCCTTTCTGATTCTGTTTTTCTGTAGCAGATGTCCTTACTGCTTCTCCTGTTCCTAACAGTCAGGAAGGTAAAGCCACTTGAACCTGACCTTGTAACTGCATGAATGTCGGCATTCTGTTTCCATTTGCTTAGGCCTGATTAGCATGAAGTTGTGACCCTCATAAGAATAAAAATGTAATTAAATGATTGATCTCGTTTATTTCTTGGCAGCCTGCATGGCCCTGATTTGGTATAAGGATATTTTGGTCTAAGCATTTGTGATCTGATGAGATAGTAAAATCATGGGTGAGAAATGAGCTTTCTTGTTTTTCGTTTTTCCTTTTAAAAGAACATAATCATGTTATATCTCTAACACCTTTAAAATCATTTTGAATAGTAATACCAAAACAAGAGCAAAGTATAAGATTATCTGTCATACTTTGGAAATTTTTAGATATATTTTAATTCCTATCCTTAAGATTTTCCCTTAATAAATTGATAGACAGTTATGAAAAAATTACTTTCCAATTAAGCATAATTGTGAAAACTGCATTGCAAATAAGTGTCTTTTTCCCTCCGGTTTTGACATTTCTAGAGGCAAAAAAAGCTAATAGCTTCATTTTAAAGTGAGAGTGATTAAATCATGCCTGCACCATCTAGAAGTGCTTCAACCACTAAATCCTCCCCAAACTTGTGTGCTGAGAGCTTCTTGACACGGTATCTTCCATAATGTTTGCACAGTTCCAACCATCCGTATGAAAATGAGCGTTCTCATTTAGATTACGTCTATATGGTACCAAAACTACTGGTAAATTAGTCTATTCAATCAAAAATAAATGTATCATTTAACAGATTTTTAAAATTATACTTCAAGCCATCATTTTGGTAACATGTAGCCAGTGCCTCAGTCTTACATTACAGATAAGCACAAGTACCTGGATATCCTTGCAATGATGTAGCCATAGCCCTTAAGTGAAGCATTCAGTTCTTGTTTGCTGAAGCCTGCCAACTCATTTTCAGACAACATTCTAGAAGACAGACCTGAAAATAAATCATGTAATGACAAACTTCAGTTTGAGTATAATGAAGAAATCCCCAAGAGGATAAAGAAAGCCGATAACTCTGCTTGCAACAAAGGAAAGGTGGGTGAATGGTTTCTGTTAAATTACACTTGGACTGTCAGTTTCAGATAGGATTTCACTCCCTCCCTATCCTTTCCCTTCACCTCTCTGCTCACTTTCCCTTAGACACCAAAGTCCACATGGTGATGATATGGGACCCCCATCTGCAATTTATAGAAGGTTAGTCATCGATTCGTCCAGCCAATACCTACTGAAGATATAGTGTGTGGCAGGCACTGAGATAGCGCAGGAGGTGATTTGGCCATGGAGACAAACATGTAAACAGTGCTTGTAGATAAGTACAAAGAACAGGGATTACTCCGTGTAATCAGAGCATGATGATGTTGAGAAGCAGACAGAAACAGGGCATTCAGACCAGGAGGCTGGTACGTTCAAGGAATTGCTAGAGGTTTTAAAGGTGTTTGGGATGACCAGGAAGATAAACAGGGCTGATTGGGAAGTGTTAACAGAGGAAGGACAACAAGAATAGAAAGAAAAATGAGATACCCGGACCCAACCCTCAAGTGCCTCACAGTGTATAGACTCTGAGCAAATCTATAGACATAGTTACAGTGACATTGTTGGACAACAAAATAATAAAATACGCCAAAAATTTGAGCCACAGAAGATACGTACTCCACTATCTGTTCATTCAACAACTATGCATTGAGTGTTCCACATTTAAGACGCTGGACTGTGCTCTGAGGGAAGATGAAGAATGAGTTAGACTCAGCCCTTGCTCTCAGAAAGCTTTTCTCTAGGGAAGGTGTTAGGACATGTATATGGATAAGATAGAGCAAGTGAAACACAGTGATGACATGAGAAAGGAACAAAGAGCTTTAGGGATTCCAAGGTGAGTGGCATATATACCTTCCCTGTAAACCAGTATCATTTTTCCCTTGTTAGGTTTATGACATGGAACTGGGAGAAGAATTTTATCTTCCTCAGAATAAAAAGGAAAGCAGACAGATTGCACCAGAGCTTTCTGACCTTGTCATCTATTGCCAAGCAGTAAAGTTTCCAGGTAAGAATAGACAGTATCAAATGAACTTATTTACAAACAGAAACAGACTCACTGACTTAGAGAATGAACTGGTGGTTACCGGGAGTCGGGTGGGGGGAATAGTTAGGGAGTTTGGGATTTACATCTACACACTGTATTTAAAATGGATAACCAGCAGGGACCTAATGTATAGCACAGGGAACTCTGCTCAATATTATGTAACAACTTAAATGGAAAAATAATTTGGAGAAGAATAGATACATGTGTATGTATAACTGAATCACTTTGCTGTACACCTGAAACTAACACAATGTTGTTGATCAAGTACTCCAATATAAAATAAAAGTTAAAAAAAAAAAAAGAATAGACAGTATATAACTGATTCACTCTGTTATAAAGCAGAAACTAACACACCATTGTAAAGCAATTATACCCCAATAAAGATGTTAAAAAAAAAAGGATAGACAGTATCATTTATAACATTTAAAGATATCAAAAGATTAAAATATGCTATTTATTTAATTGGGCATTGTGAATGCTCTCCAAATAACTAAATTGTGTTGCTGAAATCATTGTTACAGCATCTAATAAATATTTATTATTATTATTTGCTTTGATGCTGAGGAGAATACCATAAAATGTTCATTTTTCAGATCATATCATGTCTCTCCATTACAGTTAATAATAATAATATTCATAACATCTAATAGCTAAAATTTATTAAGCACTTAATACCAGGATTTATGCTACGTATTTGATGTACATCGTCTTAAATGACTCCATAATAATTCTATGAGTAGGTGGATTTATCTCCATTTCTAAATAACAGTCTGAGAGAGATGAAATAATTGGCCCAAGGTTTCAGAGCATATCAGTTAAGACTCTTTTGTTTGAAAGTGGCAGAAGTTACTTAAGCAAAGAAGAAATTTATTGGCTTATGTGTTGAAAAGTGAAGAGATATATGAGTTTCAGGTACAGCTTGGCCCCGGGCTTTCTCTCTCCATATTTCTCACTCTGCTGCTACCATGTTGGCTCTTTTCCCTTTGCGGTTGCAAGGCAGCTGCAGCAGGCTAACACTGCATACTTCTAGATTCAGCTTCAGTATGAGTCTCTTCCAGAACTTTCAGCAGCAGTTTCATGGTTTTTCACTGGATCCTTTGCCCATCCCTGAACCAGTCACTGTGGCCAAGGACATGCAGTGCTCCGGCTGTCTAGGGCTTAGGTCACGTGCCCCATCCCTGAGCTGGGTAGTGAGTCTCCACCCAAACTGCAAAGATCAAGGACAAAGTTTCAGTGGAGAGGTTTCCCCAGTTGGCCATTTTTAGAAGTACAAGTGAACTTAAGCTGATAAACCGCTGCCCCCCCAAAAATATGCACTTCAGTTAATAAGTGGTAGAACTATGATTCTGAAGCCTGTCTATCTCCAAAGTCCTGCCTTTAACCTTAGCACTACCCTGCCTCTCTTGTTAGGGTGTGCTGTCAATGAGCTCATCCAGATGGGGCAGCAGGAGGTGGAGGGCAAACAGGAAAGTCCATAAATATATAGAAGTCAGAAAAATTCATCTCCTTCTATTAAGAAGGATTCCCTTGTACAAGATTTCTGAGGACAGGAGAGCAGCTGGAATTGGGGGATCCGTCTAAATGTTAGTAAGCAGCATATATGAACTTGGTCTAGAGAGGGAAGTTAAAATAACAACCCTCATTTTTTTTTTTTTTTTATTTTTTTTCGGTACGCGGGCCTCTCACTGTTGCGTTCTCTCCTGTTGCGGAGCACAGGCTCCGGACGCGCAGGCTCAGCGGCCATGGCTCACGGGCCCAGCCGCTCCGTGGCACACGGGATCCTCCCGGACCGTGGCACGAACCTGTGTCCCCTGAATTGGCAGGCGGACTCTCAACCACTGTGCCACCAGGGAAGCCCCCAACCCTCATTTTTTTTAAGATGGTCTAGACGCGGATCCTGGCTTCCAGAGGCTTATCTTAAGCCCTAGTTCTCACACTCTGACCTGCAAATGGGACAGAGGTCCTGGACTATTGAAAAACTAGGTAATGAGTGGTCTGTTCACACACTAGAAGGGGAAAAAAAATCGTAGATGGAGCTTTCTCAATTTTAAGTTTTCTCCCATAAACTGTTTTTAAACTTCTGGTAGCTGCTACTGCTTATCTACTAGCAAATTCTGTTGAGAAGGATGAGAATAAATAAGTAGCAAGCAAAGATTTCAAAGAAATGCAAGACCTTAGCTATGTAGGTTTAGTTTCACAGATCCTGACTTTCTGTCTCATAAGTACAGTATGACCATATCTGCAGCTGGTGAAATTGTTCTTATCACGGGGTAAAATCATTTCACTGTCAAAGAGCCTCATGGCCTGCATGTCCTTCATCACAGGAACAGATGTGAAGACCACTCCATCCAAGAATCATACTCACTGCATCTCTTGTTCTTTATAAATTCAGCTGCCACTGCACCCAAACCATTCCTCTGGCTTTGTCTTTTCCTCTCAAGCACTGAGTAAACAAAGAGCACAAATTCCAAGAGATATTTGAAGTCACTATGAGAGATAAAGTTTCTGTACAGGTAGAGAATTGTGGAAGGGTCAAAACGTCATTTGGTCCAACTTTTGACTTGAGACACAGGCGAAGCATGGGGTTATTTGACTTATTTTTAAAATTCCAAGTATGCTGTTTTTTTAAAGTGTTTATATAACACACATTCTTTATAGGTATACTATATTCTAATATATTATTTTAGTAATTGAAGTTTCTTACATTTTTCTTTCCCCAAATTTATTTTTTTTCTCAAAATGACTAAATTATATTGCCAGAATCATTGTCGTAATACCTTCTAAATATTTATTGTCATTATGATTAGTTTTGATACTCAGGAGGAAAATACCATAATGTGTTCATTTTCTTGAGCCATAACTTAATAAATTATATTAATTACAATAGTAAAAAATGTTCGTTTTGCTACACTGTTGATTTTAATTTTGCTACGTTATCAATTTCAATGCATCTCACCTTTCACCATCCCAAGTCCCTTCCAAGGAGCCACATGCAAAAAACTCTTCCAAGCAGTGAGGCACCATGAAGATCATGGGTATGACCTTCCCCAGAAGTAAAGTAACTTCCCCAAGATCACAGACCTGCTTCAGTGGCAGGGCTCCACTACTCAGTGAGCTTGGCCAGGACAGTTCTATAACTTCTCTGCACTTCGGATTCCCTACCTGCGAAAGAGGCATAACATTGCTAACTTGCAGGGTTATTGTAAAAAGTAGCGATAAGGTATGCAACGTGATTAGCACACTATCTGGAGAATAGTTGGCTCTCTCGAAATGGCTGTTGTCATTTTCATTGGTGAACAGACCAGCAGGGGAGATGAAGGTTCTTTGTTGCTCCTTCGATTACTTCTCTGGGCCTCTCCAGATTCCTTCCCCTTTCTTTATCACCCAGCCCTTGTTTCCTCGTGTGCTCACCCCACCCCAGAGAACGCCCAGGCTCCTTACAGGAGGGCCCACATACCCCTAGAGGATGTCAACATGTGCTGGGGTGTGTGCAAAAACCCCAGAAAGAACATGGCCCCTCACTCTGACCCCTCATCTCTTTTACTCGGGAGAAAATCCATTGATCATTGTGTAGAGGGCAAAATTCACATAAAGTTTTAAGATAAAGCATAAGAATTCACTGTTCCAAGTTTGTGCATCTTTGCAGTTTTGGATACTTCAGAGAAAAAAAAAAAGTAGAAACCCCACAGCTGCTGTGTACTGAGCATTTTCTCTGAACAGGACACTCTATTAAGTATGCAGATATACATTATCTCATTTAATCCTATCCATGACCCTTTCGGAGATGAAGAAGAAGTGATCAGAGAGGTTAAGTAATTTGTGTGAGGTCACATCGCAGGGAACAGGGTTTAAACACTAGAGTCTACACTCTTATTAAACACTACTTTATCCTGTCTTCTCTGATGATGTTCTTGGAAGATAAATTTTCATCTCAAAGTGGCCCCTCTGAATGCTGCTTCAGTTAAAGGAAATACTCCCTAATGGTACAATTGTAGACAGTGAGAATGGTTTGGAGGCACTGGTGACTTTAAATTACACTTCCTGCCCTGGAGCCAGGTCTGCATGGTGTGCATTCATTTCCTCATTCAGCAAATATCTGTGAAGTTCCCACTGCGCCGGCACTGTGACAGGCAGGAAGGATTCAGGGAGTGGTTGGACCAGAAGAGAGAAAGAGAAGCCATGAAACATGATTACCATCATAATCTGTTTCCCATTCAATCCTCAGATTAACCCTGTGAGTGAGTTCCTATCATTGCACCCATTTTGTAGATAAGAAAACTGAGGAATCAAGAAGGCAGATGTTAAGTCAAAGCTCATTCAGGAAGGAATTGATCCTAGACAATTATGATGCTACCGCTCAGACTCTTGGCCATTCTTTCATCTCTCCATACTGCGTGATTAGGTTCTGGAGCCCTTTCTTTTCACGAAATTTTTCGAAATCTTTCTGGTGTGCAATCAGATGGGTGTGAGTGTGATCTGTGGTTGTCCTGTAATAATCATGCAGGCCTTGTCACATTTGCCAACAGAGATAAAAACTTTGCTATCATTGCCTGCAATGCTATCATTAATGGTGCTAAAAATGCTAGCAGGTCTTCTGTACTGGGTTACAAGGGAATAGTAGGACTTCAAAATAAACATTAACAGGGATGGAAAATGTTGAGTTCCCTTGCTTGTAGTTTTTGGCTTATTTATCTTCATTTTATGGGAACAGGCCTGTCAACTCTAAATGCATCTGGCTCTAGCAGAGGAAAAGAAAGGAAAAGCAGGAAGTCCATTTTTGGCAACAATCCGGGCAGAATGAGCCCCGGGGAGACAGCATCACTTAACAAAACATCTGGAAAAAGTAAAGTCACCTTCTAACAGTATCTTTGCTTGAATCTGCATGCTGGAGGATTCCAGTATTTCACTAAGCACTTCGCTGGAACTTTTTAAATCTTTTTTTATTTTCATGAATGTTCATGTTATCTAAGTGTGGTATAAATATTTTTTTAATTACAAAATTACCCTCTTAACTTCCTAAAACATAGCATTTCACTGAAGGTGTTCTAACACTGTTTGCCTCAAAAATAAACATTGGAGCCACCTTGGAACCTTCTAGTGGTTCTTGGAACTGCACTCTTCACCATTATAACTCCAGAAGATATATCCATTTTATCTCTAATTACTTTTTATTGTCAAAGTAATAAATTCTCATAGTTAAAAAACTCAAACAATACAGAATATTATTAAAGTTTCTTTCCACTCACAATGTCCCAGTTCTATTCCCCAGAGGTAACCACTGTTAAGTTTATTGTGTTTAGTTCAAGAAAAATAAGATCCTTTTTAAGATAATCCAAATGGGATATAACTGAACATAACTTGTATAACTTTTATACTTGCAATAACTTTCCATATAGCTTTCTGTACATATAATCTACCTTCTCCTTATTGCCCCTGTGGTATTCCAGTGTGTGGATATGCATTTATTTAACCACTTCCTCACTGGTGGAACTTTTGGGTTGCTTCCCGGGTTTTTTGTTGCTTTTTTTTTTTTTTCTTGCTATAAAAAGCACTGCTAGATTGAACACCCTTATACATATACTGTTGTGTATTTATGCAAATATATCCACAGGACAGATGAGGTACTGAGGCAAAGGACTTTCAGGCTTTTAATTTAAAATGGTGTTGCGGCACTCATGTTAGCTATCCCTTTTTGGGGGAAGGTCTAATTGGCTTTATTATTTATTGACACTTGAATGGGTAGCATCCCATCTAGCAAGTAGAAAGGCATACCCTCGATAGCTATCATTTGGTCTCAAGGTGGCGGACTCACAAGTAACACTCAGGATGTATTCTGATGTGTGATGTGTTGTGATTCTTTCCTGGGGTGTTGTTCAGGTTTCTCTTGCTAAAATATGTAAAGTTTTCTGCACTAATCTGAGGCTAATCTTTGGGGGGTTTAGGTTCCTGTGAAGGAATCCGACAGGCCTGGGAGGACTCGCCTTCCTCTGTCAACCCAGCCACGTCCCTCAGCGCTATCATTAGAACTCCCAAATGCTACCACATCTCCTCGCTGAATGAAAATGCCGCCAAACGTCTGTGTCGCAGGTATTCTCAGAAACTGATCCAGCACACTGCATGCCAGCTGCTGAGGACGTATCCGGCTGCCACCCGCATCGACTCATCCAACCCCAGCCCCCTCCTCTTCTGGCTCCATGGGATACAGCTCGTGGCGCTCAACTACCAGACAGATGGTAATGGGCCTGCTTCACCCGGAGGGGTGCCCCTTCCCCTCGCTCCTTTGCGTCTTATATCTCAGCAAACGTAGTTCAACAAAAAACATGTTTCAAAGGGGTCAAGATTCCCAGCTGAGGCCTATGTGAGGGTAAAAATACAGATGACAGAGAACAGAAGTGAATTCGATACTGAACTGTGCTCTTGACTTTCCAGAGTTAAGGCAATAGAAAAGAACCTTCAGGGAGCCCCTATGAGTCTCCTGGTTCTGCCCCCTTTTTAAAGCACTTTTCAAACATAAGACTGTTCTTGACAGGGCTGTGTCCAGTTTGTTTTTAAAGACCTGATGGGGTAGAGATTTCCTAACACCCCTTAGTAACCGTCTTGCTAATCTCTTGTTCTTGCAGTGAAAAAGTAGGGTCTCTCGAAACCCTTTGCAAGTTAATACCATTTTAGCTTCCCCTCATCCCTTTGAGATTGAAATGGAGATTAATGGTCAGTGCTGTAAGAGCAGCTGACACAAAGGAAACAAGTCTGTGAATTACATGAACCGAGAAAGTAGTGTTCCTGCTTCTCCACCGTCCTGAGATAACGGATGAGGCCAAAAACTCCAGGGTACAAGCTACCTTTTATTGCATGTTCACTGTGCACCAGGCACCATCTCAATTCTTGACCCCTATTTTCTCATTTAATCTTTGAAACAACTCTGAGAAGTGGGTACCGTTATGATCCCCATTTTTCAGATGAGCAAACCAAGACGTAGAGCAATGAAGTGGCTCAAAATCACAGTATGACTTATAATAATAAATTCAAGCACTCTGGGGGTTTAGAGAATAAAATGTTTTGGTTCCACTTAGACGTGGTGAGAGGTGGGAGCTACAACAGATGAGGAACATTTCCTAGAAGCTCATTCAAAAACCAGAGTCTTCGCTTTGAACAATCAAGCAGCCTCCTCCTTCCTCTCACGTGAACTGAATCAGATCCTAACCAACTGTGCTGTCCCATCGACCATAGCTTAGCCCTGTCTGCAGCCAAGGTCAAACCACAGTTGTAGCTCTGGGACCAGCTAGCCGCCTGGCACTGGCACCACCAGAGCCCATTTGTGGCTGACCCTGGTTAGAGACATCAGTCATATTTTCTTGCCTTTGTTACATTTGCTTCTTTCAGTTGAAATTGAGTAAAGGTGATGCAGGTGAAGTACCATACTTAGCATAGTGCCTGGAGCACAGACAGCATTCCACAGACGTTAGCTACCATTAAGTGCTTTTGATAAGTTATGAAAACAGTATGATTTGGACTTGCAAGTGGAAATAATAGTGAAATATTTTAAAAGCTGTAAAAATTTATTTTCAATCTGTCCCAAGTGGCTTGTGGGTTTATATCTCTGGCCCTGTCTCTAGCCCCAAGTCCACTGTTGCCCTTGGTGGAGATGATACTGAAATATTTTAAGTGAACTGAAATAACTAGCAAAATGGTTTTCTCAAGGAAATGGAAATGCACTTGGTTTGGGACGTGTCCTTTCTCCTGAAGTGCCTAGGCTGGCGCAGACATACTGGCTCCACTGATGGCAGAGGGAGCCACAGCTGAAGGGGACACGGGTATTGCCCCTCCTTGGGCCTCTCTGTGGTCTGGAAGCACACACTGAGGCTGCACCTTGGCCTCCACTCATCCCTGAAGGCTCTGTCTCTTTCCCAGATCAAGCCGGAGTGCATGTTCCCTTTGCCCCGCTCGGGGTGGGGCAGGAGGCTGTGATTCATCCTCAGGTTTCTCTACATAATCTTCCAACTCAGGTGGGAGTGCTGCCATATAACCTCTCTTGATTCTAGGCAGCACGCAATGATTAAAAATCTCCCATGCTGGGCAAAGCTCACGCTACATGCAGTTTCAGTGTGTTCATCTGTAAAAATGGTCTATATTACTGCACACTGGGGTAGAGCCTGGTCATTCCCTTGCACACAGTAGATGCTCAATAAATGCATGTTGCACTGAGCTAACAGATTGTCTCAATGAGCCCCACTGCAGTCTGAACCTATAGTTCTTGATTTTGAGTCCAGATCTCTTCTAGGTATTGCTATGTGAATTTCAAGTCCAAATAGAGAAGAGTCAACGTTGGAATCACTATTTTTTAATTTTTGAAAAAGAATTCCTGGGTTAAGGAGTTCTTGGTTTTCCATGAAGCATGCCAGCCAAATAACAAAGAACCCCCTCCCAGTGCCCCTCTAGCCTCCGGATATGTTCCATAGGTCATCTGCCTTACACTTCCTGAATTTCAGGGGACCCCAGTGCCCGAAAGTGGTGTCCATGGACTTAGGGTCATCTCTTCCCAAGATCTCTAATGACTCCATCAACTCCAAGAAGGTCTGCAGTGATCTGGAACCAGAAATAGCTTGGGTCTACACTCATTAAAACCAACTCTTGAGTTTGGAAACTGACTTGAGTCTAGTGTGCAGACCCTGGTTATTGCAGGCAACAGCCCCTCAAAGTTCTTTCCATCTGGGGCAGAATGATTCCTGCCTCATGTCCCAGGACCTACAAGTATGTAGAAATGCAGCCCCACTCAAAAGAAAAACTTCTATTAATATTTATTACGCTTTCCTGAACGATTGTCACACCCTTTCTGATGACTTTTCCAGCCTCAAAATATAGGGATAATGATTCTGAGAATGGTTTCCACTTAATACAGGTTTTTAAATGAACAGAAGGACATAAGGATAAGGGTTTGCTTGATCTGCCATCCCATGCACTGACTGAGAGGGGTGATGGGATTACATAGATCTATGCACATTCTTTCACTTGGTTAAAACAGAGGTTTTAAAACTATAGCCCTAGATGAAGTTCTGGGACCACCTATAGGGGACAGTAGGAGGGTGAGATTTAAGGTCCCACCTTTACTCCAAACAGCAGCTCCATGTGGTTCTGTGTTACATAGCAAATCATCAAAAGAGATTTTAGTTAAGCAAAAGTGCTTTGAAGTTTTGGAAAGCTACAAAGACAGACACAGCGCTAATGAAATCAGACTTCAAACCCAAATGAGTGTTGACATCATAATCATTATTTAATACCTGTTTATCGAGCACCTTCTATGTGCCAAATGCTGGGGTAGGGATTTTTGCACAGGACTTCACTTATCTTTATAAGACCCCTGTGAGATGTACATTAAATGGCTCGGTAGTTAAGATTAGGAACTGTGGGTCAGGCTGTCTGGGTTCGAACCTTAACATTTACCTCTTACTGGCTATGTGCCTTGGGCTTTTTTGTGCCTCAGTTTCTTCTCATGAGAATACTAAAAGAATGTACCTCATGTGTTATTGGGAGGCACTAATACAAGTTCTTAGAATGGGGCTTGATACATAGTAAGAGTGCAGTAAGTATGAGCTGCTGTCATTTTTTTAGCAATATACTGTGTATCCATTTCTTACTTACCAACTCTTCCTGAGCTACTTGGCTTCACTCTTTGGACCATCCTCCGCCCACATCTATGTTCCTCTGTCACAGAGCAGCCTGGGAAGAGAATTTTTCTCCCACTGCAGGCAAGACAATTGGCCTCAATGAATCAGTCATATTGGGGGCTGGAAGGGGTCTGAGAGGTAGGGTCCAATGCACTAATTTTGTAGATACGGAGACAGAGGTCCAAGGAGCTTTGATATGTGTCTAAGACATCTGACCCTAGAAATTCCTACACACAATCCCAGCCAACCCCACGTATGGGGAAAAATTTCACACACGAGATGAGGAGAGGCCAACTTCTCATTGCTCTGTGGTGCTCATTTAGCACACTTTTCCTTGATGTTGGTCCACGTATCAGGGTTCATTCTGCACATGGAAGGAATCTATCAGAGGGAACATTTGTCAGGTGTGTCTCATAAACGTTTTGCTCATTTGGAAAGTAACTTTTCTACAGACTTGTGCCATCAGATGAGCATTTGAGTGTGTAAGAGCCCAAAATCCGTGCAGGGATCCAACCGTTCATCAAACAACTCTGCCAAATAAAATTTGGCCACAGAAGACTGGAAGCTGTTGTGAGGGTTCCCAGAGTGTACTATGGAGGGGACTGTGGACATAATGTGAATCACATGTGATAATGATTTTTCTTTCATATTTAACTACAGCTTAAAAATAGAGGTAGAAACACTACGATTTATGAGTTGAAATTTCAAGAAAAAGATACGTTTCTCTGGCTCTTCTGATCTTTCCTGGATTCTTAAGATTTTATCTTACGTTTGAAAAAGCAAGAATTGGTTGTACAATTGTCTTCATGGTTTGGTGTTTAGGGATAAGAAAATGCCATTATGCCTTTCTAAAATTCAGTATAAAATGAGGTATTTCAAAGATTATTTTTTGGAAGGATGTTGTAAATTTTAATTTGCAAAAGGAGTTTTTAAGTGGCTCCTGGGTTGGAGCGGGAACATGGGGCATATCCCATAGACAGTGAGCTCCATGAAGATGGGGATTTTGTATCTTATTTCCTCCTGTATCTCTGGTGCCTAACACGAGCTGGCACACAGTAGGCACCCAGTCTATGGAGTGAGTGGTTGGTTCTCTCTTCTTCCTGCTTAAGCTTAGGGAAAATCGAAAAAGTCAATTTGTAAGATGACACTTTAGTGACAAGGTAACAAGTGATGTTGACTGTTTTGCAGATCTCCCTTTACATTTAAATGCTGCCATGTTTGAGGCCAACGGTGGCTGTGGTTATGTTCTGAAACCCCCAGTTCTGTGGGACAAGAACTGTCCCATGTATCAGAAGTTTTCTCCCTTGGAAAGAGACCTGGACAACATGGAGCCTGCCATCTATTCTTTAACTGTAAGTCTGGCCCTGATGGTCCCAATAGAATATAGGAAGGTGTTTAAGCCCTTCCTATATTCCTTTTTTATATATATAAATTTATTATTTATTTATTTATGGCTGCGTTGGGTTTTCGTTGCTGCACGCGGCCTTTCTCTAGTTGCGGCAAGCGGGGGCTTCTCTTCGTTGCGGTGCACGGGCTTCTCATTGTGGTGGCTTCTCTTGTTGCAGAGCACAGGCTCTAGGCTCATGGGCTTCAGTGGTTGCAACATGCGGGCTCAGTAGTTGTGGCTCGCAGGCTCTAGAGCGCAGGCTCAGTAGTTGTGGCGCACGGGCTTAGTTGCTCCGCGACATGTGGGATCTTCCTGGACCAGGGCTTGAACCCGTGTCCCCTGCATGCAGGTGGATTCTTAACCACTGCGCCACCAGGGAAGCCCGCCCTTCCTATGTTCTATTGGGATTCTAAGGTGTAATGCCTTTTGAACTCAAGGCGCTACAAAACTCCCATGTCACAATTTTGTTGGTGCAGATTTAGTTCCTAAAAGAATTTCTTTACTTCTCAGAAAGCAGCGGCTGAGGTTTAGGTATGCAGTCACCAGGCGCTGTATTCGCTAGAGCCCAGTAGGTGGAGTTATGAGCTCCCTGCTACCACCTCCATACTGATGATGGTAATTCTGTCTTCCAGGGCCCTCAGAATCATAACTCTCAGTGCATCCCATAAAAGCTGAGCTCTTTCTTAGAGCAGGTCATCTTAAACTCTAACAAGCTCTTATAAAAGGTAAAACAGGCATCAATACACAAATCAATTAAATATCTTTCCTCCTTACAGTTTAACCTTTGTCATTCCTGGCCTTTCCTTATTCCTTTTATTGCCTAATTAACTAACTGTCAAAACTCCACAGACTGCCCTTAACATCAGAGTCCTGGTAGCTCATTACTCATTTTTATTTCCAGCTTCTCTCACTCCCTCTTAGCTGAGGGAAAAAAAAAAAAACAAAACGAAACACTGAATGGGTGATAGAAAAGACGGGGAGCGAAGAAGTTATCCCTCCATCCATCTCTAGATCTTGTCTGTTTCCCAAGCAGCCTCTGCGCACAACACCTCAAAACCCTGGGAGATCCCACCTCAGAGATTTTCCTACCACCAAACTGCTTTTTCTCTTTCCCTAAGACAGTAGAGCAGTAGCTCCTTTTCTGTGTGACCATTTTCACTAGACTTGAGTATAGCTTCATGTTGACAGAAGGCAATGAATTTTTTTTTTTTTTTTTTTTTGGCGGTCTGCGGGCCTCTCACTGTTGTGGCCTCTCCCGTTGCGGAGCACAGGCTCCAGATGCGCAGGCTCAGCGGCCATGGCTCACGGGCCCAGCCGCTCCGCGGCATGTGGGATCTTCCCGCACCGGGGCATGAATCCGCGTCCCCTGCATCGGCAGGCGGACTCCCAACCACTGTGCCACCAGGGAAGCCCAGAAGGCTATGAATTTTTAACAACATTCCCTGTGACTTGCTCCAGAACCTAACTATTCAAGAAAAATTTTTGAAGTTGTAAAAGATACACCTAAAACACTTTGAACAGAACGTAAGTAACACATTTGTGGTTTCATATATAAGGTCTTTTTTCTCAACAAACTTAATTTCATCTTAATTACATGGTTTTTGAAGATATTTGAACATGTTGACAATTGAAAGGTTATAGTTAGGTGAATGCTGTTGACAAAATAGATTTTACCATGATTCCAGTCATGCAATTACCTGATTGTGATAACTTCTCTTTTTTTAGCAGCCTTATTAATCATTTACCTGGTCCATTCCAAAGGGTTCTTTGTCTTTCTTTGTGGAGGGAAGCAATGAGGCTCAGAGGCAACCTCTGTCTCTTTCGCATCTTCAGTGACTTTGATCCTTTTTCCTCCTCAGATCGTCTCTGGGCAGAACGTTTGCCCGAGTAACAGCACGGGAAGCCCGTGTATAGAGGTCGACGTCCTGGGCATGGCCCTGGATAGCTGCCACTTCCGCACGAAGCCCATCCACCGCAATACTCTGAACCCCATGTGGAATGAACAGTTCCTCTTCCGGGTTCACTTTGAAGGTCTCCTATTTCTTCGTTTTGCCGTTGTGGAGAACAACAGCTCGGTGGTAACTGCTCAGAGAATCATCCCCCTCAAGGCTCTAAAGCGAGGTAGAATCAAATTGTCCGAAGTTCATAATTGTAGCTGAGCGATGGATGCCCCGGGGTTCATTACACGCTTCTCTCTACTTTCGTATATGTTTGAAATTTTCACGTTAAAATAAGAGGCAGAAGCAAATAATACAAGTTTGAACACTGTTTGAGCATGTCTCAAAAGACATTTTTCTTTTACGTTATTCTAAAATCCGAAGTTATTGACAACGTCAATATGAAGTGCAGCCTCTCCCACTGTTGCTGATATTGGGAGCGGCAGTCGTTGTGCTCTTGTCGACATACATCCCTCCCCAGATAGCGCCGCCTTACCCCTGGCATGTTTAAAGCAGGGACTGACGTGAGGAGAGGAAACCGAGAACAGGGAGGGTCGGGGTGTGCTGTGGCATGAGTGGGATGAGGTTGGAGTCGGTGCCTGGTGGGAGTCCAGTGTCAGAAGCCGGGGGTGGGTTTGGATGCAGAGCAGGGAAGGTGGAAAATTCTGAGCAAAGGCCAGAGCTGCTGGCTTGCTGCATGTGGGCTTTGCCATGGCCCTTGGGGGAAACGTCAGCTTGTCGCACCTGTCCAGAACGTCTGTGCACTGCTTCTCAAACTTTGATGTGCAGTTGAGTCACCCAGGCTCTTAGTAATAAAATACAGACCCTGATGCTGTGGGCCTGGGGCTTGAGATTCTGCCTTTCTAACAAGCTCCAGGGATGCTGACTCTGCTGACCTCCTTTGAGTACCAAGTTTCCAGGACATACTTCCTCCCACAGCCATACTCTGCCAGCCTCTGAGCACCACCAACATGTTACAGTCTCCTACTCTTTAGTTTTTCCTTGTTTCTCTTCTCCATTGTGTGAGTAGTGCGTGGTCACTGTGTTAGTCAGCTAGGGCTGTGTAACAAAATACCACAGACTGGGTGGCTTAAACAACAGAGGTTTATTTTGTCAGTTTTGAAGGCTAGAAGCCCAAGATCAAGGTTTCAGCAAGTTTGCTTTCTTCTGAGGCCTCTCTCCTTGGCTTGCAGATGGCCACCTTCTCCTTGTGTCCTCACAGGGCCATCCCTTGGTCTGTGTGCACAGCATCTGGTGTTTCTCCATGTCTGCTCTCCAGTCCCCTCTTCTTATAAGGACGCTGGTCATATTGGATTAGGACACACCCTAATGACCCATTTTAACCCCATCACCTCTTTAAAGACCCTGTCTCCAGAGAGTCACATTCTGAGGTAATGGGAGTTAGGGCTTCAACATACGAATTTTAGGAGGACACCATTCAGTTCATGACGGTTATTACAGAAATATGACAAAGTACAGAGAAGCAAAAACAGTTTTTTTAAATTATCCTTTTTTCCATCTCTTCAAAATAGTTACTTTTGGTATATATCTTTTGCAGGCTTTACACCTCTACCCATGTATATACATATTAGCATATAGTATATATTTTGAACAAGTAAGCTTCCTACTAATCTTAGTGTTTTGCAACTTACTGGTTTTCACTTACTGATGTATGTAGTGATCAACTTTTCAGGTTAATAGCTATACATCTTCATTACCACTTTTCAGAGCTGCATATTACTCCATTTTATACTTGCACAAGTACACACCATAACTTATTTAGCCAACCCCCTATTGTTGGAATATTTTATTATCACTAAAGCTGTTCTAAAATGGAATATTTGTAGAACAGGTATTCTAGATGACTTGATAAACAAAAATGATCAGGTTTTCCTACTCTATTTGGTTTGAGTTTAAAATTTTCAGTTTGAGTCTAAGTTAAAAACAAACCTCGGACAAGTTAACTACCACTAGGTAGCCCCAAACCGTCCCCTGGGGCAACACTCCTGGGGAAGAGGCATCAGTTGGTTGTCACCCCTGCCCATCTTAAAGTCTTATTTCTCCCTATCATTTACTGACCTCCCTGGGGGATCTCCTTTGCAGAGCTCGGCAGTGCACAGCTAACAAGCTTTTCCCAATTCTGCATTGTTCCAGGATATCGACATCTTCAGCTGCGGAACCTCCACAATGAACTCTTGGAAATCTCTAGTTTATTCATAAACAGCAGGAGGATGGAAGAAAATTCCTCTGGCAATACTATGCCGGCCTCTTTGGTAATTAAGTTCTATTTCATTCAGCTTACTTGTGGGGATTGCTATGCTGGAGGCAGGCTTTCTTGTGGTCCAGGAATGTGGCCCATTTGAGTTATTGATTAGGTAGCTACGGAAATACTAATAATAATAATGGCTGACACTTGACACTTTCTAAGCACTTTACACATATACTAACTCACTTAATCCTTTCAATAACTTCATGAAATAGCTATTAGTATCATCTCCATGTTACAAAGGAAGGTAAGAGCTAAGTACACCTGAGGTCACACGGCTATAAACCCAAGTTCATCTAGTGCCAAAGCCCATACTCTGAACGAGTACATTATAGTGCCTACCAGGGAAGTGAGCCAAAAATAACAACACGGGGAAAAGGCTAGTTATGCAAAGCCTGCTAGGAAGCATCTTGATACTTCTAGAAAGTTTAGGTTAGACGAGGAAAATCCTTTGCTTCTTCAGCAGTCCAGGGGCAGACATCACAGGCGAGCAGGGTCGGGTGAGCAGCCAGGCACCGCTGGTGACACATAACTGTGCAAGCGTAGCGATCCCCTGGCACCCGGGGAGAGACAGCATCTGCGCCCTTGGGAGTGGGAGAGGAACACCGCAGAAAGGCCACCTTTACAGGAGCTGTGTTTTAACAAGTTCCCCAGGTGAGGTCCAAGCCGTTGAACTTCCAGAACCATTGGACCAGCACTCACCCCAGTAATGCAGGGTTGTTTGCTTAAACAAGGAACTCTCCTTTAATTAACTGGTTAATTCCACTCTGCTTACTCTTTAAAAATTAATATAAAAGGGTGTCCATCAGTCTCCTCTTTACATGTTTAATAATCTATTCATGGTTGCATCAATCTTGTACTTCAACAGGGTCCTAACAACCTTTGGAAAGGCGCCTTCTATGCTCACAATGGCGCTGGGTTTAGCCACTGCTGCTGCCACCTCTGAATAGCCCTGCTTTCTCCTCTGCTTCTCTTTCCCTAAGCTCGACAGTTTCTTCTCTTTCTCTGTCCCTCACCTTGTTTTCTTAAGTTCTCCTCCTTTTCCTTTCAACGAGTGATTGAAGTTGAGCACAGCACTTTGGCCAAAGTAGGGGGAGGTATTGCCTCTGCCTGGTGCAGAGGACTGGGAAGCAGGGACGGGGCTGCCTGGTACCTAAGAGCAAGAATTAGATGCTTTCAGAAAGGCAAGGCAGAGCTTAGTGTCCACTTCTGGGTTGGTTGCCCTCAATACCTATTAGAGCTGAAGATCCCACACATGCCATGAATGAACCATTCTTCCTCACAACAACACTTCTGACACCAAATGTGTGGTGTCTTCTCGACACTACTTCTCCAACTCTCTGATGCTAGCTTGGTGTCTACAGTTCAGTTCAGTTCCGACACCATCTACCTGGGCTGAGCATCAGATCCCACAAGTTAAGGGCTCAGTCCCACAGCACTGTCCCCACTTCAGATGCCAGTTGCAAGTCCCAGGCTGTCACTGGTACTCCTGACTGGCCAGCTATAAATCCAAGAGGTTCCCACAACCCCCTCCTTAGGGCCAGTAGTTTGCTAGAATGACTCCTGAATGACTCAGGAAAGTGCTTTACTTACTATCACCAGTTTATTATCAAGGATACAACTCAGGACCAGCCAATGGAAAAGATACATAGGGTGAGATATGAGGGGAGAGGGAGCAGAGTCTCCATGCCTTCTCTGGACACACCACCCTCCCAGCACATCCATGTGTTCAACAACCCAGAAGCTCTCAGAATCCCGTCTCTTAGGGGGTTTTATGGGTGTTTCCTCGCATAGGCATGACTGAGTAAGTCATTGGCCATTAGTGATTAACTCAACCCCCAGCTCCTTTCGCCTCCCCTGAAGTCTGCAGTAGCGGGGGCTGAAAGTTCCAACCATCTAATCATGACTTGGTCTTTCCGGTGATCAGCTCCCATCCTGAAGCCATCTAGGGGCCTCCAGCCGTAAGTCATCTTATCAGCACACAGAAAACTCTCGTCACTCCAGAGATTCTGAGGGTTTAGAAGATGTGTGCCGGGAACTATGAGCAAAGACCAGATATTTATTTTCAATTATATCACACCACACCATCCTAGGTATATCCCAGGCAGCAGCGTATATGCTTGGTAAATACAGGTTCTTTGACCTTGGAAGTCATCACCTTCCATTGCTCAAGGCAGTAAGTGAAGATCATCCTGGGCTTCTCCTTCTCTCTCACTGCCCCGTGTAAGACTCGATAAATCTGTCTCCTTAGTATCTTTCAAATCCATTCATCTCTATCCGTCCCTACCATCTTGGCCCTCGTTCATTCTCACCTGGCTTGTGGCCGTGGGTTCCTAACTGGTCCCCCTCCCTCTGAGTCTGACCACTTCTGTATGTCCTCCTTTAGGGCCTTTTAGACAGTTCTATCTAAAACTCAAATCTGACCATGTCACTCTTCTGTTAAAAACCCTTGCTCAGCTCTCCTTTGCTATCAGGATAACGTTTGTATGTGGACTGGGCAGAGACTCTGGGAAAGCCGAGAGCTCATGGGTCATTTAAAGGGACAGCTGCCACCCTGCTCTCAGCTCCAGCTGCTTGTTGCCAAGCAGTTTTGCCAGATATTTTGGTTTTCAAGACTGTCAGGACATCTGGATTGGCATAAATGTTGGCAACTATTTCAACTTTTTAAAAATATAGTTCAGGCTAAGCCATACAATTAAAATGCATGTATTTTATGGTATGCAAATCATGTCTTAATAAAATTGATTAAATAATAAAAACACATTGTACAAGCATAACAAAACAGCCAACCTCTCCTCCCCCACACCAAATAAAAACAAAATGCATGCTAAACAAAATACTTAGGCAGCCTTTTCCCCTCCATCACCTCACGGAAATCATTGAGGTTCCCAGAATGCCTTGCTTTAGGCCACCTCTAACGCTTTATACACAGGCTATACCAATATTGGGGATGTTCTTGTCCCGCTCTTTATCTGCTAATTCACACTGGGCCTTCAGATGATAACCACTTTCTGGAGGTGCTCTCTGATTTCCTCCAAACCTGGGCTCCCAAGGAACTTACCATGCTTCTTATAATTGTCCACGTTCTCTCCTAGCTGTTCTATTCAACTGGGAGCCCTTGAAGCCAGGGATAATGTCCCATTTCTCCCTGAATCCCCAGGGGCAGGCAAAATGTCTGATTCACTGCCAGCCCTCCATAAATGATTTTGTATTTTAAATGAATGAATATATCCTAATATACAAACCGCTCAAAGACTTGTGAGTTATACACCTCCCCAACTCCTCCTAACAGAAATACTTTTTGTATCATAATTATTTGTATGCCTGGACAGCAAGCTCCTTAAGGCCAGAATATTTTATTTATCATCTTACCATCCAAAATTCTAGCCCAGTGCCCTGAAGAGGGATGGAACTCGACAGGCACTGTTGAATGTCTTTCATTAAGTAAGGACTGACATACATTTCAGATAATATCAGTCCCCTAATTACGATGGAAAGAGACACTGTTATTTAAAATAAATTAATATTTTGGTGGTATGCTGCTAAATATTCTTACTAGACTATTAAGAAAGATGCACCATGGCCTATTGAACCACAAACAGATGCACCTGGTTATAAAAGGATGCTCTTGTTTTGCATTTACGTGTCCCTACGCGTACGTCTAAGAACTAGCACTTCCGTACTGGTGTAGCCTAGAAACAATATGAGAATGTAAATGAATGAGAAACCATGTGATCTTCCTTGACAGATGTTTAATACAGAAGAAAGAAAATGTTTGCAGATTCACAGAGTCACAGTACATGGGGTCCCAGGTCCAGAGCCCTTTGCTGTTTTCTCCATAAATGGAGGCACCAAGGCAAAGCAGCTTCTCCAACAAGTAAGTTCACTGAACCTGTAGCTAATAAACAGTTCTCCTTTGAGGGGAATCTCTATGCACAGGTTAACATCTCGCTCAACATTTTACAACGGACTTAAAGTCAGAGAAAGCAGCTCGTGTCAGATTTCATAGATTATCAAACAGAAGCTACTACCAAGTGGTTTGGGGGGCTTTGTTTTTTAAATCAGTCCGTCCATGAACTCCGGTATCTACTATCACAAAGCACTGTTGGGGTTTTGGAGATGTTATAAAATATGATGATGTAAAGTAAGAAAACATTTCCAAGGACCACCCATAAAAAGTAGCATATTACTGTCACCCTACGTGAGTAATCACAGGGCTATAAAGCAGGACTGGGGAGGGAGTGACGCTGGCCCTGTCATGGAGCTAACAGTGTCGACTGACCTGCTCCTGGAAGCTTCGTGCCCTGAATTATTGCTGTAGTCGTAGCTGCCTTGCCCCACACAATCCACAGCCCAGCATCGACCATAGACCAAGGGCTGGGGTAAGAGGAGCAGAGTCTTCTTGAGAATCTTCTGCTCCCCCACCCCATCCCCAGTTCATTCTGCTTCTCCAAGTGAGATGCAGCAGTGCCAAGTGCTGACTCTGGTCCTTGCATCATTGTTGGGGGCCGGTGTGGGGGGATGCCTAAAGAGAAGAATGTTTGCTCAATCTAAGCCGGATGGTAGCATCCTTCTCTGGTCACTCACTTCAAGTTTAGCCTCTGTCGGTAACCTGGACAAAAGAAAAAAGTGTGAAAGAAAACATCAGTAAGAGAAACTATCATGATGGCTAGTGTTTATAAGTTCTCCTACTGTGTCTGGATTATGCTTTAGAATCAATCCGTGCCTCAATCATAAAATGAAACAAAATTAAGAGGTTGTGACTCTGGACTTCCCTGGTGGCACAGTGGTTAAGAATCCACCTGCCAATGCAGGGGACACAGGTTCGAGCCCTGGTCCGGGAAGATCCCGCGTGCTGCAGAGCAACTAAGCCCGTGTGCCACAACTACTGAGCCCACGTGCCTAGAACCCGTGCTCCGCAACAAGAGAAGCCACTGCAGTGAGAAGCCGGCGCACCGCAACCAAGAGTAGCCCCCGCTCGCAACTAGAGAAAGCCTGCGCGCAGCAACGCAGCCAAAAGACCCAAGGCAGCCAAAAGAGCTTACTGAAAGGGGAATTCCCAGGAACTTAGATCAGATGAGATTAGCAGATGGTTGAGTATTTCCAAAAGGAGAATGGGAGATTATCTTGGTAAAAGCTGGACTAGGTTCTTTGCCCTCGGTCCTGTGTTGCAAGATTACAAAGAGCTAAGTTCACGGATTGAAAAACCTAAAGTTTTTAATTCAGTAAGAGCTCTCATTCCAGCAGTGGGAAAAATAGTTATACTGTCTGGGGATTATGAATAAATTGTGTCATTGCCCAGAATGAACATAAACAATCCTTTTTGGATGTAAGAGAATTCTTAGATCTTCCAAAAAGAATTATGCAACGGTGCAGGGTAGGTTTCACTTATAAATTGCACATCAAACCTATCCGAACCCCATGAAAATAGACTTGTTCTTTTGCCCACTCTTCAGAGGTGTGCCTAAATTTGCCTTTGTTTTCTCTTTAGAGTCTGACCATTGATCAAGACACCAAACCTATTGCCACAGACTATTTTTTAATGGAAGAAAAATATTTTATATCTAAAGAAAAGAATGAATGTAGGAAACAGCCGTTCCAGAGAGCCATTGGTCCAGAAGAAGAGATCATGCAGATTTTAAGCAGCTGGTTTCCCGAAGAGGGATATGTTGGCAGGATTGTCTTAAAAACCCAGCAGGAAGTAAGTGTGTCCTGGGGCAGCCCACATTGTAGCAGCTCATATGTAACTCACCACCTCACCACTAGCCGCCTGCCTCAAATTCAGAATTTCTTATCATTGCAACTTGCTTTATAGTCTTCTTAAGTAAGTGTGGAGAATTGATTTTATTCTTCTGCACATATTCAGAATGTTAACTCTAAGTTACAGAAATTCGGTCTAAAAATCATCCCTTAGGAAACAAAGGGAGAAAGAACTGAAGGATTCCTTAAGCATGTCATCAGTGGTGCGTCCAGTGTTTTATCTGTTTACATGAGGACATGGTTATGAGGGTCACAGTAGTATGTAATGGAAGGCCTGTAGGCATTTTGCATTTGGGGGTTTGTTGCCTGTTCAAGTTTTAGCTAACAAAATGTTTTGTGCTAATATGTGAAATAACAGTATTTCTTTGAAAATATTCCATAACTTTACACCAAGTAAGAATAACCTCTCAGCTTTGGTCCGAATTTGTAACAATATTCCCATGATCATTCTCATAACGGAAACAATACGACCGCCCGTCAACTCCAGATTCTTGGGCTCCTGATGGGGTTTGCTGATGGAACACATTTTTTTTTTTTTAATAAACTGATAGGAGCCCACTAACTTACTTCGATTTTTAAAAAATGACATACAAGATCATTACACAATCATACCTCATGATAAGTCGATAATGAAGCAGTTGAATCAATTCAACAATTCGATTAAACAAATATTTATTGAGCACCTGAAATGTGCCAAGCCCTGTTCTAGGCACATGATCTGCCTCTTTGGGGCATGTAATAGAGCTGGGCTGGTAAAACACCCATTGCTGGTCCATGCTTGCTGGGACACAGTAGAGATGATAAGGAGCCCATTTTCAGCATCGTGTGTTACTTTTTCACTCTCTACCTAACTATGAACGTGGCCTGCAGCATCCACAGAACTCCAGCATCTCCTCTGGGAACCAGAGCCACTGCCTTCCCTCCTAACATTGCCTTAGATGATAAAAGGACACTTGCTTTAAGCAAAGAAACGTACTTGGCTCCCTAGCGTCCTCTCCCCATCAGACATACAAATTACTAAGACGGAGGAAAAGCAATTCTAATAATAATAGCTTTATGAGAAAATAGAGGGCTTAGCTGGATTTTTGAAGCCATCTTTAATTTCTCTCTAAATCTTTTTCCTATTTCTAATTGTCTTTGTCACATGTAAAAAAGTATCCTAGAAATGACAATTTCAGTGAAGAAGTGAGTTTGTTAAACCATATCTTTGCATCATGACTTACAGCATTTAACGCTCTCAAGCACCCACTAGTTTGAATGATCTCATGATGTAATGGAAACCATTCTACACAAAGAAAACAGGTTCAGAGAAGTTAGATCACACCAGGGTGAGAAGGAGACAGCACTCAAGTCTTACGGCTTCCAGGTCAGTGTTCTTTCCACTACCCTGTGCTGGCCAGGCTGGAGTTGCATCAGTCTCCGTGGCTTCTCCCACACGCACCGTGGGAGCTGGTGAGCAGGAGGAAACGTGGGCAGCCTGCTGAGTGTTGCCGTGGAACTTCATCACATGGTTGGAAGGACCAGGAGTAAGGGGTGCCCCATATGCAACTTAAAATGTATATGACAGGGCTTCCCCGGTGGCGCAGTGGTTGAGAGTCCTCCTGCCGATGCAGGGGACACAGGTTCGTGCCCCGGTCCGGGAGGATCCCACATGCCGCGGAGCGGCTGGGCCCGTGAGCCATGGCCGCTGAGCCTGCGCGTCCGGAGCCTGTGCTCCGCGATGGGAGAGGCCACAGCAGTGAGAGGCCCGCGTACCGCAAAAAAAAAAAAATGTGTATGACAGCAGGCAATAGAGACATGGGGAACGAATGTTTAATAAAGGCTGGTGGAACAGAAGCACTTTGAAAAAAGGAGGAGAAATTAGAGGGGAAGCATTTTCTGATGAGTAGAGTACAGCAAGTTCTCCTTTATATGCCTCTGTTGGGAGAAGAGTTTCGAAATGAATGAAGTACATCTCAAAAGATAACATCATATTTCATGTATCTAGGCTTACCGGCTGCACAGCAACACACAGTGCAAATTTACTGATTGACGAAATGAATTCAGTGTGCACTGAATGCAAACGGACACTGGCATAGCTGATAGATTTGGGCTATAAGTATTTCCATTTAGTTACTTTGTGGAACTAGTAACATAAGCAGTTTGCCCATGAAGCTGCAGTCTGTTACCTCTGGTCTTACCTGCCTGCCTTGTATGATTTTCTTGTCTTCTGGGCTCTCAAGCTGTTAGGTATCTTCCTGTGGTCAATATGCTGTCCTCTGACACCTGCTGGATTTGAAGTCAGACAAACCTGGCTCTGACACAAATTAGATGGATGACCTTCAATGGCTCATCTGAATTCTGTAAACCTCTATGCCCTAATTTGTAAAATCTATGAGAGGAACTACCCTGCTTGACTCAAAAAGATTATCATGAGACTCATGCCAAACATGTAGACAATATGTAGAGAAATGCTTAGTAGACTGTAAAGGAATACGCAAATGAAGGTTATTGTTATGGTCATAATCTGTGGCTTCTAATGTGGCTGAAAACGGCTTAAACATTAATAAGCCCTGAGTAAAGCTCTAAGGAGTGCTCTTAGAAGTAATTCCCAGTGCATGGTCATTGGGATATTTTATGTGGCAACTTAGAACTTCTTTGTTTTTTGTCTTGCTTACTTACATCCTAGCTTTCAGAACCCTGAGATTATAAATTATGTCATGTGAATTAGCACCCAACCCCACTCCCCGATTGGTTAAATATATTGTAATCAATGCAATGACATATTATGCAAAATCTTTAGGAACTGACATGAAATGATGATCACAGTCTTTTTTTAAAAAATAATCTTATTTATTCTCTCCTTGTTTATTTCTTTATTTATTTATGGCTATGTTAGGTCTTCGTTTCTGTGCGAGGGCTTTCTCTAGTTGCGGCAAGTGGGGGCCACTCTTCATCGCGGTGCGCGGGCCTCTCACTATCGCGGTCCCTCTTGTTGCGGAGCACAGGCTCCAGACGCGCAGGCTCAGTAATTGTGGCTCACGGGCCCGGTTGCTCCGTGGCATGTGGGATCTTCCCAGACCAGGGCTCAAACCCGTGTCTCCTGCATTGGCAGGCAGATTCTCAACCACTGCGGCACCAGGGAAGCCCTCACAGTCTTTTAAGTGGAGAGAAAAAAGGAGTTGTAGAATAACATAGGTACTAGAGTACAGTCTCATTTTATGTAATAAAAATAGACAATGGCTCTCTCCCCTTCACGCATAATATGATGGATGGGGTCAGAACAGTCCAGTTGTGTAAATTCTAGGGACCACGACTGCAAGCTTAATGAAATGATTGGGGCGAGGCTGTGTGCCTGGCTGGTGAGTAGCCCCAGGAGCCAGTCCTTTCTGGTCCTGGCTACAGTTTGGCGCCACCTGGTGACAGTTGTCCATTTTGACTTTAAAATCAGTGGGGACTATTCTAGGTCCTGGGGCTGGCTGGACTTTCCAGGACAATGACAGTGGTTCTTGGAGTCTTCTGGTTAGGCAGCACCATTTCTGTGGCCTGATCTGAGATTAAGCTAGAATGCTGAGGACTGGAGGGCCTTCCTGCCACATCCTCACTTCCTGAGATGGGCTTCCCTACTGCTCACTTGCCTTGCCTCCCCCTTGCGGAAGACAGCTTTACATAACCTCATTTGACAGGGGCCATTTGACGATCACATTATATCTAAATTCACATAATTCCAGGGTTTCTTTGTATATATTTATTCACATATACAAAAATACATTTGTATATCCATAGCAGATGGTTAAAAGGATATGCAACCTAATAACAGTGGGTTTTTTTGTGGAGAATGAGATGGGAGAGGTGGAAGAGAAAAAGAAAAAAGGTAGAAATGGGAAGTTTGCCTTTTTATTGATATATTTCCTTACCGCTTGAAAATTTTTTAAAAGATACATATGTCTATAGATATATCTGTGTATGTAATACATAATTATATATGTAAAATTCACTGAAAGCCAGCCCACCAAAAGCCATCTAACCTGATGACCAGTTCTCATAATTATTGAGAATTTTGTCGATATTCCTTTCGATGTGACTTACTTCCAGTCATTGTTTTAGCCTTTCCACTGTGGGTTTTGTTCATCCAGCCTGCCTGAATGCCGATTTTGCATGTTTCACGTTTCAGATGTCTAGCATTTCTTAAGTGCTCAAGGTCTGTGGGGGAATGGGTAGATTTCTCTTAAATGTATTTATTGTGTTCTTATTTGGCTTTTAGTAATTGGCAAAATGGCATATTGTCTTTTCACAAATTTATCTCTAGCTGATTTGGACTCAAAGTCCACAGCTAATAGGAGCAGATCTACTGGCTTGTTCTGGACCAAACCTTATCAGCGTTGTCAACATCAGCAGACACTTACAGTACTTTCCTCCTCTTAGAAGAGATGTAAATCCTTTTAGAATAGTTTATGAAATAGTAACTAGCGTATGGAATATAAAGCTAAGAAGTTGTTTCCACGTTACCAAGATCCATGTCAAATTTTTGCTAGGCTTTTCTTTCCTTATTCTACATCATCTTACCATCTACTCAGACTTTTCTTCTTTTTTAACATAGAACCTGGAAGAGAAGAGCATCGTTCAAGATGACAAGGAGATGATCCTGAGCTCAGAGGAGGAGAGTTTCTTTGTCCAAGTGCATGACGTTTCTCCCGAGCAACCGCGAACAGTCATCAAGGCGCCCCGCGTCAGCACTGCACAGGACGTCATTCAGCAGGTGAAGGCCTCCCCTTCCTCACCCCAGTCCTGTCCTCAGTGTGAACTATTGGGACAAATCAGATTTCAGCTCCCTTTGTGAATGAGGTTTTAGAACAAAGGGGACCTGACAAGGGAGAGTGTGCCTCTTAAGGCTGGGAAATACTGATTCCTCCAACGATACTTGCCCAGTATCTACTGTGAGTCAGGCTCTCTCTGAAGCCTCAATAATGGATCTAGAAGGTGGCTCTGCAGAGCGGGAACGTCATCATCCCAGAAAGGCCTAAGCCAATACTTAATGGCCATCTCTCAGGGATCCTTCAGAGGACATGCAGGAGGCCTCCTCTGACCCTCTCCCCTCCTCTGGTCACGCTTCTCTGTGTACATGGCTTCAGAGAACTCTGTTTCCTTCTTTTGAAGCCCTGTTATGGTTTGCGTTTATTAAACACTCACTTGAGAAGATAGCATAACAGTTACCAGACTCTAGATCAGATTGCTCCAGGTGCAAATCCCAGCTCTACTTCTTACTAGCTCTGAGAGCTTGGACAAGTTATTGAACCATCTGTGCCTTAGTTACACTGGTGTGCTGGTAAACTGGCTCACTTAAAAAAAAAAAAAAAGGCCCTCCTGATTTTGTAGCATTTGCCAGTTTCTATCTTGTAAATCCTCCCACCACATCTGATTCCAGTGGACTCCAGCACAACACCATGTGCAAAGCTACCATGCAGATAACATGGAGATAGTACATTAGCACTTTCCTTAGAGTTATTGTGAAGATTAAATATATGTAAAGCACATTCGCCTATTACAACACCTAGCACATGGCAAACACTACTTAAGTGCTATTTGCTATTCTTATTGCATGATAGTTTGGTTAATATTAGCCTCTTTAATAGACCTTGAACTCCCCAAACTATATACAGTATCTGGGACATAGTAAGCCCTCACTAAACATGTGATGAGTGAATAAATGCATAAATGAAAGATAATCTTGTACTAAATGAGAAGTGAGACCAGGTAAGTTCTAACATCTAAGACTCTGAGATGAAGAGGGAGCCTCGTGGAAAAAAGAGGCTCCCGAGGGTCAAGATTCTGTCCCTGTCTGCATGACCTTCCATCTCTACCAGCTTTGGTGGATGCAGAAAATCCAGTTCAAGTCCTTTTTCTGTTACTTACTAGCTGTGCATCCACTGGAATCTGCCTGACCTCTGTATGCTTAAACTTCCTTGTCTGAAAAATGGGCAGAGTAACACCTAAATCATGGACGGTTGTGAAGCTAAATGAGGCAATGTGGGAAAGTGCCTATAAGCTAGCTACAACTACGAAAATGTATAATGAGAAGTGGGATGACATGATCTGAAAGACCCCCTCCATCTCTTAAAGTCTGGTATTTTCCCAACTCAAAGTCTCATCTACAGTGAAGCAGGCGTTGGAGATAGTGTGTCTTTATTCAGTTGATCATAACTTGTCTTTCAGACCTTATGCAAAGCCAAATATTCCTATAGCATCTTGAGCAACCCGAACCCAGGTGATTATGTGCTTTTGGAAGAGGTGGTGAAAGACACTGCCAACAGGAAGTCTTCTACCCCAAAGTCCTCCCAGCGTGTCCTTTTGGATCAGGAGTGTGTTTTTCAAGCTCAAAGCAGGTGGAAAGGTGCAGGAAAATTCATCCTTAAGCTAAAGGAACAAGTGCAGGTAAAGTGCAAGGCTATTTTTCTCTCTTCACAAATTATTTGATATTCGTAACTACAGTGTAATCAAATTCAGGAGCTAGTGAAATCTAGGAGAAAGTTCCCGAGTCAAGGAAATTAGTCGGAAGAATGTTGTTTGGCTGTTCGCACTGTGTGGAAAGAAATGTCTTCCCCTCTGAGCTTCCACAGTCCTGAGAGGGGAGTCCCTCAGCCCTGCTTTCCAAAGCTCTACTTACTAGAAAGGGAACAGGAAAGGGCTTTTTCTGATAGTGTCATGTGATTGGGGACCCTGGCTTTAACCTAATACCAATGGAAGATTCTCGTTTTCCACAGGCATCCCGAGAAGACAAAAGAAAAGGCATCTCTTTTGCAAGCGAACTCAAGAAGCTCACCAAGTCGACTAAACAGCCCCGAGGACTCACATCACCTTCTCAGGTCTTGGCCTCCGAAAATGTCCAAAACAAGGAGGAGAAATCTGTGGGCGGCTTGTCCTCCAGTGACACGATAGACTATCGACAGTGAGCAAGGGTAGCACGTTTTACCCAGGTATTCTGAGTCATTGCACTGTTCTGAAACGGGGGGGGTCAACTTACACTACTTTGTAAGACACAGTCTGTACACTGTCGTTTGTCTTTTCCAAGAGGAGGATGTCCCTGAGGCAGGTAGGAATGGTACCCTGAAGGAAAAGGGCTCTGAAGACACACATCACTTCAGCACTGATAATTTTAGATCTCCTTATTTTGTAGATAACTAAAGGCCCCAAGAGGACAACAAACTTGCCCAAACTACAACAGCCGTATTTCATCAGACACAGAACTGTCTTAATTACTGGTAACTCACATGAACATTCTTGAAGGGCTGCTATGGGCCACTCAGCTTTTATTCCTTTGGATTTCTAGTTTGATGTTCTTCTAATTTAGGTCTGATTTACTCTCAACAACCTCAACTTCTTCTGCCTCAATTAAAAAATGAAAATCTGGCATCCAGGATGTAATGATTAAAAAGAAAGCAAAATGACATAACAGCCTGCGGTAAATCATGCCTTCGGTTGCCAGCTTACCGCTTGGTATTCACATACAGAGTAAATTTCATTCTATCTTAAAACAGACTATATGGAACCTGAATTTAAAAAAAAGAAAAAGCATGTGAGGAAACCAAACACAGATTTCTTCTTTTCACTTAGTTTCTTAATGAACCCAAGGGATTATTAACGCCCACCTTTCACCTGTTCCGTCACAGTTCTAAGATTTAAAATTCTCAAGAGACCACCTGCACAGTGAAGGCGTTGTTGCTATACTACAGAGCTGCATCATCTGTCTTCATCACAATCAGATATTTGTAGAAGCTCATAATTAAAGAATTTATTAATATCTCTTGACAGGGCCAAATTTGACTTATAACAGCCCCAAAGAAGGCTGATACCTTGAGCCAATGTTTAAGGAGCAACTCCTAACACAGTTGGTGCCCCGTATACACTTACACAGAAAGCTCTTTCAAAACAGCCGAGGCCGAATACAGGAAACTGCCTCCCCAGAACTTCGGCACAGCCCGTTATCTTGGGTCAGGGCTTTTTAGGTTCTGTAAGCAGAGACTCATCAGGAAGATTCCACATCACATAGCATCAGGGGAGAGTGAACATGCAGAGAATAGTGAAGCCCCGGCTGTTCCAGACCCTGAGACGGCTCAGCGCCCATTTTCTGTTGCGGTACCTCTGGTATCCCATTTTTAAAGTTCAGACTCACTTCCTTTCCTGCCACAGTGCCACCGAGACAGGCAGTGTCTCCGAAAGCCCAGTGAGCTTTAGGACTAAGTACCATGCTAAGCCTCTCCAGCTTTGGGAAAGTGACAGTGGTAGTGGGTGTGTCAGCACACAATAAAGACAGTGATCAAAATTTCAAATATTGTTTTCCATATCAAGAACCTAGCATCAAATAAATCACAGGTGTGATAATGTTATGCACACCTCTCTATTATAACCTCCGTAATGACAGAGTGAAATTACACTCTGCACGTAAAGAGCCCTCAGTGTGCCAGAAGATTAATAAGTACGTAAGAATACAACTGCACTAGAAATTTGACTTTAAAATAATGTGCCTGCTATAATGAGCATTACTAGTTGCTTATATCTTAGGAGCGTAGGGAGGGTGGTGGTGATTTAGACGATTGCCTTTGGACTCAATTTTCCTATAGTAAGCAGATATTCAGAATCAGTCAGTTGACCTCACATCTTTCACTAAACTTGGGGAAGCTCTTTAAAAATAGCCATTGAGGGACTTCCCTGGTGGTCCAGTGGCTAAGACTCCGCACTCCCAATGCAGGGGGCCCAGGTTCGATACCTGGTCAGGGAACTAGATCCCGCATGCCACAACTAAGAAATGAATGCCGCAAGTAAAAGATCCCACAGACTGCAACTGAAGATCCTACACATGGCAACAAAGATCCCTGTGCTGCAACTAAGACCCAGCGCAGACAAATAAATAAATAGATAAATATTTTTAATTAAAAAATAAAATAAAAATAGCCATTGATATAATAGTAATAGGCATTGGTGCATCTATGGGAATATAGATCCCATGTTATTAATTTTACAAATGGTGTTTCGAAGAAAGCATTTGTGAAAAAAGAAGGGCCTTTCTGTATATGCTCGTAAGAAAAAAAGTTTAACATTTTTATTGCTTTCTGAGTGATATATTTCATGTTATTCTGAAATATTCACCTCTAAAGTTTCAAGTTACCTCCTAATAATAATCTAAGAATTTCTAAACAAATAATTAACTTACTCAACTAGTTGACAGAAGTCCACCTTTTTTTTTTAAAAAGCTGAACAGTTTAATTATGGTTTAAAAAAAAAAAAATCTTTCTAAAGAATGTGATGTTCCAGGGCAGAAACAGCCTAATGTTCCACCTCCCAGGAACATCATGTTCTACCACTGTGAGTTTATAGGAAATAGTCTCTCCCCCAAATCCAGTCACCAGAGCTTGGGTTTCTGTTGGTTGAACAACCTTAAACCTTGCTACACTATGAACATTTCTGCTCCTTCACTTTAAAGAGACTAACAAGCCTATGTATACAATTTTACAGGTGAAGATCTTTGGGCAAGAAGTTATAAAGTCAAGAATGAACATGATGGAAACAAATATAACTTCCTTATTTTCATTAGACTTAAACTGGAAATTGATGATTTCTGAACTTGCGATATGAGGTCCACACTGAGGTCAAGCAAAATGGCACAGGGCTGGCTACCAACCAGTTTCCTGATGAAGCAAAGAAGCCCAGCAGACTGCCACTTTACATGTGTCAACAGTTGGAAAAACCATTGCTAACCTTGCAATAATTGACTTAGAACAAGGGTCAACAAACTTTGTAAAGGGCTAGATAGCAAATATTTTAGGCCTTATGGGCCATATGGTCTCCACTGCAATGACTCAACTCAGCTGTAGTGCAAAAGCAGCCATAGACAATACATACGTGAATGAATGTGGCTGTGATCCAAGAAAACTATATAAAGACACTGAAATTGTAATTTCATACAATTTTCCCATGTAATAAATATTCCTCTTTTGATTTTTTAAAATCATTTAAAAATGTAAAAACTATTCTTAGTTCAAGAGCCATACGAAACCAGGTGGCAGGCTGGATTTGGCCCAAGGGCCATAGTTTGCTGACCTGACTTAGAAAACTGGGAACAAGATGCAGAGGTATGAAAACAAGCAGGCTAGTTTAGTCATACATTTTATGGCTGAGAATTGGAAGATTCTGGGCATTGCAAGTGTAAATATGTCCTATAAGATTCATTAAAAATTAATTCAATTTAGTTTCTATATTGTGTACCATTGTGAATTCTGTAGTATTTCTTTTTAGCTACAGAATGATGTTGGGTTTTTTTACGTTCATTGCTTATATATTCACAGACTTTTGGTTTCCATAAAATGAAGTTAGAATAACGTATATCTACTGAGTTGTGACATCTTAACAAGAAACTTAACCATGTTTTTAAAGCAAAAGTAGATTGTTGGTGTTTATTTATTTTACTAGGTTGGTACTGACATTGTACCTATATATTTATTATACATAGCTTTCTTGATATTGCTTGCAGATTAGAAGAGTTAGTGATTCTATCTTACTATTTGAAGACAAATCTCCTAAGAAGAAAATGTATGCTCTGAATATCTGAAACAGGCCAGAATTTCATGTAACTTGCCATTTAATGTAAATTATTTTAAAAACCTTGCTGTATAAAACTATCATGTACGTGTAGAGGATTCTTCTTATTCTTGGCATGAAGCAAATTATGATTTTTAAAATGAAAGGTGTTCCTCTAAGTAAAATCCAAATTTTATCTTTCTATTGACATTAAAATTTAAGATGTTTTTCTTCAAATTATAAAACACACTAAAAATCCTAACCTTTGCTTTGAGAAGTTTTTCACCATAAAAAATGAATAAAACAATCCCCAAGTTCTGCATACGCTAACAGAAGTGTTAAAAACACACGGCCCAGCTTTCATGTTACTGGAAGTTCTGACTGAGTCAAAGCTTTAATGCTAGAAGAGCCACATTTGCTTGTCAACAGAATTCAGGCTATTCCAGTTTGATGTCATTTGTACAGTGCTACAGGTTTCTTTTTAAATCAAATAATCAGTCTACAACAAATGTACAATGCTGCCTCATTTTTTAAAATATTCCAGAAACCGTAATCAAGTTTCTCTAAACTAAGAGACATTTCTTCCACTGGTTGGGCTTACTGTGTCATAAAAATTGGGTTACTGGTCTAACTGGCAAGAGTCAAGATGAAAACTGTGCAGAGTAGCGAGATGGAAAGCAAGACTGGTCTCACTAGGTTTATCACTTGGCCTTCACTCTAAGCCCTGCAGCGCCCCACCCCATGGCCCTTAGCACAAAATCTGAAACTTACCTTGAGACTGCAAGGGAGTCACCTCCGGCCTATGTTGCAACCCAGCTTGATGGTTCATTTTGAGGTGAAAGGACATACTCTGCTGTATTTGAGTCTTGGGGACTTTAGGGGGGACTACTCTACTATTACAGCTAACCAGCACAACCTGGTGTTTGCCAAAAGTAGGAAATTTTGATTTAGAGCATCTCTGAATTATACAGTTATATTACTATAGCAAATGAAAGAAATTATCCCATTTAGAATGCATCTAAAATAGTCACCCACACTATACCCATTACTACTTCATACTTTCCATACCATTAAAAATTTGGGTAGCAAACCTTCATCAGTAAAGTCGATGTGGAAAAGAATCTAAATAATACAAGCTGGCTGCAACCCCCACCAAGTGGGAGAAATGAAGGGTATGGTGCCCACAAGCAGGCAAACCCCAGACCGGTTGGAACCAGAAGGTTGATGATGGTGACTCCCACTTATGTCACCATCAACCAATCAGAATGTCCATGAGCTGATGGCGCCCTCTTTGAACCATTACTATAAAACTCCTCACTACCCGCTCCAGGTCGGGACACACAGTTTTGAGGGCATTAGCCCCCTGTGGCCCCCTTTGCCTGGCAAAGCAAGAAGCTGTTCTTTTCTACTTCACCCAATAAACAAACAAATATGCAAGCTGTATTTACTACAAGATTTTGAAAAAAAGTATTTTTAAATGCTTCACTAAAAACAGAAAGGAGCATTAATTCTGTTAGGTGGCGCCACTTTTAAGATTATGATAGCTGGCAAGAAAAGATTAGAATAAGAATCCAATGTGATGTGTGATGCTGGAAAAAACAGATTAACTTCCTCTCAGTCACCTCCTCTGTAATTGTTTGTTTCGCAAATTAACGTGAGATTATATAAGGGTGTGAAGGAGTTGAGAACAAGTCTGAGGATAAATCTGCAGGAAGTAACATTATTTGTGCAGAAAGTGCCTTCTTAAAGGAACGTCTCTTTTCGTGTCATCCTTACCAAGTAAAAGTTATTTATAAATTCTCTAGCTGAGGAGAAATATGGAGTCTAGACTCAACAAAAGTGAGTCAAAAGTCAAATTTACTTTCACACACAAGTCTCCCATCTTGATGGCTCTGGAGACACTGGAGGCTCACTAATGAAAGCGGGCCTCCCCTATGGCTCCGTATGTGCTTTTTTTTTAAACACATCTTCCCCTTCCTCTGTTCTCTCCCTTTCTAGTATCTCTGTAGACCTCTCCTCTTCTGCCAGACACCCGAAGGCCTTGCTTAATTCTGAAAAGTAATCAGAGCTTGTGTACTGGCCTGGTAAAACTGAATTAACTAAACCACAAAGCTCCACAACTCTGCTCCCATGCCAGTAAGGAGGATCTTCCTGGCTGGTGTCTGATCTTGAACTTGGCATAGTGAGAGGCAGCCTACACGGAAAGAGCTCTCTAGCGGGCTGCCTCAAACACTTTTAGTTGCTTCTCTTAAATCAGCAGCAAGGCAAGAAGAGGAGAATACCTGGACCCTCCAAAAAGTTGTTAGAAAAGGAGACTGCCTCTTACACAAAGCCCAAACTTGGGTCAACATGATACAGTACATTGTTAACAATTTATATGTTCTCTGCCATTTCTTCCTATCAACTTCCTAAATGCAGTCCTTGCATGATGGCTAAGGATTCTGACAGGAATACCTGAGTGTTTTTGAAATACTGAATCTCCATGATTACCAAGCTGTTCGTACACATCTCTTAGATCCAAAACATACTATGCTCAAGTCTGCCATCCAGCAGGCCTCTGAAACCTTCCCTATTTCAGATGATACAGGTCTCTGAACTTTGAAACAACTCACTCTGACAATGAATTGGGTAATGTTGTGTTCAAAAAAATGTGTGAATGCTCTGACTCAACATGCAAGGGCATGGAAGACTGAGGCTACGTCTTATGCCTGTTATTACCCGACTTCACTTTTAAGTGCCTAGCACAGTGCTAAGCACATAGTAGGTGCTCAATATTTATCTAGTTAAAAAAATAGACATTGAGGCTGTAGTTTATTATAGCCTCAGGGTGTATGTTATTATTAATGACTATAATATTTAGTTCTGAAAATGAAACTCATCAGTACAAGGCTACAGAAGTTAGTGCACAAATGTTTCATCCTCAAATTCATATAGGATATTCAAATACAAGATGTATAATTTTATGGTCCCACTGTGATTCGCTTATGTGTAACAAGGTTAAAAGCATAATACAAGTGTGAAATAGTTGATGAATTTTTATTTTAAAATTGATTTTTCATTTAAACTATAGTTTTTGCTGCCAACGTGAAATATAAATGTATTTGTATATGTTTGGAAAATAAATGATTTGTGACATGTACTGGTCACTTGTGCTCCAATGGCAAAAGACCCCTTGGTCATCTAAACAAATATTCATAACATTCCTGAACTTTAATATCTAAAAAGTGCATTAAAAGCAAGTATTTATATAATGAACCACACATTTCTCACCATTAATCAAGCCTAAAAAAATTGATCTTAAAAACACTTTTTAAAACCACATATAATATGCTAAAAGATTAACATGCATCATTAAGCTGATATTCCCCACTCTGCTGGAATGATAAAGGAACTTTCTATTTTCATTTACTTCATGAGAAAAAAAAGAACTTTAAGCCCTACCCTAGGCCAAAATATTTGGCTTCTACAGCTTTGAAGAAATAGATCTGCTTAGTTGGACTGCTGTGCATTTTTTAAAATGCTCACTAGAAAGCAGAAAAATGCAGCTATTTTATTCAGCTGTTCACAGTAGAGGAGATATTTATAACCTGGTCATTAAAACACTTATTTCATAAGCCATTCCTAGAATATGGCAATAGCTGTCACATAAAATACTGCTTTTTAATTATATTCATAAGAATAGGCATTTCATCTGTTAAAAAAAAAATGAAGGGAGAAAAAAAAAAAAGCCCCTCGCTGGTACCCTTTATCCTTAAAACAGAATGGTAAAGAAAGTCTCAGACTTGGTTTTTTCCACCATCACCCTCCAGAGCATGTCAGAAAATGCGACGAACTTCAAAGAGACTAGAATCACACTCAAACTTTCTTTGAAAGTAGCCATGATGAGCATTCTTTTTCACAAATGCCAAATTAGGTTACTTCTTGAAGCATATCGTCCAGTAAGAGCCAAAGAACCTGGTATCCAATTGCAAGCTATTTTTTCTTTTCTCAAAAATTTTCATAAAAATATATACACTCAAATTTAGAATGTTTCTCACTTCCATCATGGTGGTACAATAAAAAAACACTTATTTCGTTATTAAAAAGTATTTGGTTATAAAGAGTAACTGAATGGTAGAAAGCAATCTCATGGTTTTGATTTTCCTGTGCATATTTTCAGAATTGGGGCAGAACCCTGTGCCACACAAAGGATAATTCTTCCTCCTCAAGAGAAAGTCCTAAATTAACAATATATCTTTATGTGCATCTGCACAAACACACAAATATACAACAAAAGTCCCCTGACTTTTCATTTTTCTATTACCGTACTGATGTTTCCAAATATTTGGTGAAATCCAGAGGCGACTGAGTAGCAACTTCACTACAATGTCTTTTGATTAGTTGACTTATCTCTTCACTTAAAAATGAATCCCCTTGTAAAACTTTATCCTGAAAAAATATTACAAGTATGAGTTAAAAGTTTGCTTATGCCATAAGCAAAAGCCAAGCCGTGAGCAAAGTTAAAAATGGCAACAGCTGACACCAAACTAACACATGAAAAATAAGGACAGGTGCTGGGTCAGGTCTTGGACATATCAGCCATATCCTACATTGAATGAAACAGTCTCCTGACTGTCTCTATAGAATTCCAACCCCAGAAATCTATCCTACCATCAACTCCTAGCACAAAACAAGCAAGTTGAAATCAGGTATTAAGAGACATATTAATTTAGTTTTTATTTCATCCTTTAAAAAAAATAATGAAAAGTGTCACATACCTTCCTTTTGGAATTTGAAGATTCAACAGGAGGATTGAATGTCATTGCTGCCATGCTATAAGCCTCAAAAAGTTCTGCAGGAGATCTATAATCACAGATATAAGAAAAGTAAAGACACCACCATATCTGTGTAACTTGAAAATATTTAGATTGTACCCACAGAATTAGACTGTACACAGAGAAAACAATTAGATTGTACTCATTATTCTAAACCTAGATATAACATAATCCTGCTTTTGTTTTTGTTTCTTTTTTCTCATTAAAATCTTCTTTGTCCCAGTTTTATTTTCTTCCAGTTTTATTCAGATATAATTGACATACAGCACTGTGTAAGTTTAAGGTGTACAGCATGATCTGACTTGCATACATCATGAAATGAATTACCACAGTAAGTTTAGTGAACCTCCATCATCTCACATAGATACAAAATTAGTGAAATAGAAAAAAAATTTTTCCTTCTGATGAGAACTCAAGATTTATTCACTTAACTTTCATATATAACATACAATAGTTTAATTATATTTATCATGTTGTACATTACATCCCTAGTACTTATTTATCCTATAATTGGAGGTTTGTACTTTTTGACTGCCTTCATCCAATTCCCCCTTCTGGTAGCCACAAACCTGATCTCTTTTTCTATGAGTTTGTTTGTTTTTGAAGTAAAATTGACCTACAACTCTGTTAGTTCCTGTTACACAACATAGTGATGATTTGATATTTCTATACATTTCAAAATGATCACCACGATAAGTCTACTTACCACTTGTCATCATACAAAGATATTGTATAATTATTGACTATATATCCCACACTGTACATTTCATACCTGTGACATTTTGCAACTGGGAGTTTGTACCTCTTAATCTCCCTCACCTATTTCTCTCCTCCTCCTAACCCCCTCCCCTCTGGCACCAGCTGTTTGTTCTCTGTATTTATGGCTCTGTTTCTGTTTTGTTTGTTCATTTGTTTTGTTTTTTAGAGTGAAATCATACAGTATTTGTCTTTCTCTGACTTATTTCACTTAGCATAATCCTCTCTAGGTCCATCCATGTTGTTGCAAATGGCAAGCTTTAATTCTTTCTTTCATGGCTGAGTAATATTCCATTGTGTGTATATATACCTCATCTTCTTTATCCATTCATCTATTGGTGGGCATTTAGGTTGCTTCCATATCTTGGCTATTGTAAATAATGTGGCAATGAACATAAGAATGCATATATCTTTTCTAATTATTGTTTTTGTTTTCTTTGGAAACCAACAAAACACACCTATATAAAATAAATCCTGAATCCCCATGTTATGACATCATTATCCAACTAAATCCACCTCAGAGAGGTCTGGTATACATTTAGAAATATAGGTCTGGACAAAAAGGCTGAGCAAAAAGCCCTCAAGCTCAATATGATCAAATCCCAACTCAACCAGTTATGTGAACGATATGCAACTAAGTGTAAGTTAGTCATGAGAGCATAGGCATGGAGTCACCTTCCACGGATTTCAATCAGCTCAACCCTTCAGCTGTTTGTCTGGATTGAAAGCAAGGAGAGGCCAATCAGGACAGA